AAAGCACCAATTATTCGGTGATCAGCCTTCTTTATGGTCAAATATCTCTGATTCCGTTGCTCCTGTACCCTTAATGAAAGCCACGTTCTGGGAGAAGGGGGATCAGAAATAGTCTCCAGTGACAATGTGTCAGCTGGCTGCCCTGTTGCAATTCCCCCCTCCCTTCTTCTAAAACTTCCCAACTCTTTTGTTCATCTATCTTTGAGCTGTGACCTTCCTCAAACCCCTGCTGTAAATTGATGCTGCATTCCTCTTCTACCACAGCATCAGGAGAAGTGGCGGGTCATCTCCATCATTCCTCATCCATCTCGCCCTCTTGAGTCCAATTCCCAACTTTTATATACCATAATGATTGAAGCCATTCACAATAACTGTGTCAGATTTATCGGTGGGTGATATTGCCCTCACAGTGAAAGATGCTGTGAAATGTCTTCTAGTATTCAGAAGCTACATTCCTAATAGTGGTATCCTGATGGTCTGAGGACATTCCCAAGATGAGAGGAACGAGCCACCTCTTTGAGCTCTGTGTCTTCTCAAGACTACATGCTTTTCATGGTATCAAACAAACCTGGGCTCCAGAATCTGCTTCCCTTCAAATACAGTGGTAGTGAAAGAGCTGCTGTTTGGTGTAGTGGTTAAGAACGGTAGGCTCGTAATCTGGTGAACCGGGTTCGCTTTCCCGCTCCTCCACATGCAGCTGCTGGGTGACCTTGGGCTAGTCACACTTCTCTGAAGTCTCTCAGCCCCACTTACCTCACAGAGTGTTTATTGTGGGGGAGGAAGGGAAAGGAGAATGTTAGCCACTTTGTGACTCCTTTGGATAGTGATAAAGCGGGATATCAAATCCAAACTCTTCTTCTCCTTCTCTTCTACCACAGGCCAGATGTTCTTCAGCATCCTTATCCAAGTCCATCAAGTCCCTGCTGCCATTATCCCTGCCATTGCTGTTCCAGATGGTACCAATGGCTCCCAGGCCTTAAAACTTCCAGGGGCCATGGTTGTTGGAGACATGGGGGGACAGTGATCAAGTTCTCTCCTCTGCCCTTGTTGCTGGCGTACTCACTGAAATGCTTGGCAACAAATGAAACACAACACCCACTTTCCATGCATATTTTGGCTTTCATCTGTGCATTAAACATTTTCTCAAGATAGAAATACTTTGAGGCACAAATAATTTTAGATAAGCCAAACCTTGTCACAGATCCAGACTGTTCAGGAACTTCTCAGGACAGTTTGTAAAGTGTGAAAGTACGGAAACAAAATGTGTGAATGTTAACCAGATTAAATATACCTCCAGTTTGCTGGAGAGAATTTGCGCTGTCTTGAAGATCGGGAAGGCTAACCATGTGCGAAAGAAAAATGCCCTCTAATAGTAGTCACTTTGGATGCAATGGATGAGCGAGAGGCATAAGAAAATACTGCTGGATCACGCCAATGGCCTATCCAGTCCAGCATCCTGTTCTGACAGTGGCCAACCAGTGAGCAGGATCCCAGCTCACTCTCTCCTCCTGTTGCTTCCAGCCACTGGCTTTCAGAAGCATTGCTGCCTCTGCCTATAGAGGCAGAACTTGCAGAGACATCACCTTGCTAACAAAGGTCCGTATAGTTAAAGATATGGTTTTCCCAGCAGTGATGTATGGAAGTGAGAGCTGGACCATAAAGAAGGCTGATCGTCGAAGAATTGATGCTTTTGAATTATGGTGCTGGAGGAGACTCTTGAGAGTCCCATGGACTGCAAGAAGATCAAACCTATCCATTCTGAAGGAAATCAGCCCTGAGTGCTCACTGGAAGGACAGATCCTGAAGCTGAGGCTCCAATACTTTGGCCACCTCATGAGAAGAGAAGACTCCCTGGAAAAGACCCTGATGTTGGGAAAGATGGAGGGCACAAGGAGAAGGGGACAACAGAGGATGAGATGGTTGGACAGTGTTCTCGAAGCTCCTAACATGAGTCTGACCAAACTGCGGGAGGCAGTGGAAGACAGGAGTGCCTGGCGTGCTCTGGTCCATGGAATCACAAAGACGACTAAACGACTAAACAACAAGCCATTGACAACCTTATCCTCCAAGACTATAAACCAGGCATAGGCAAACTCGGCCCTCCAGATGTTTTGGGACTACAACTCCCATCATCCCTGACCACTGGTCCTGTTAGCTAGGGATGATAGGAGTTGTAGTCCCAAAACATCTGGAGGGCCGAGTTTGCCTATGCCTGCTATAAGCCATTTTTTTAAAAAATAGATTAAGTGAAATAAATCCAACAATTATTTTCCTGCTGAGAAGTAGCTAGCCCTGTTTATGTGCTCATCTGAAGGTGTGCAGGCTTAAAGTGGTGAGAGGGGCATGCAAGCAAGCTCTGCCCCTGTGTCCCTGCACATTCCAGCTTCACTCCTGACCTTTGCTTGTTGAGCGCAAATGGAAAAGGGGTCTCAGTTGCAGAGTGCGAAGACTGGAAGCGAAATTGGCATGTGGGGGGAGATTAGGGGCATTGCTTGCCTGTGTACCCTACCTAACTTTATTATTGTTATTCTTTATTTCATAACACATATACAACATTCGATCGTAAGAAACCTCCACGCAGCTTACGAAGACAAGATAGTAAATTCAAAGCATGCTTCAAAGCATATCAAAAGTTAAAATATGAAAATGGATTAAAATGACCTCAAATTGTAGTTTTATCAATCGTTCAATGTGTCAACACGAATAGAAGTTATTAATATTGCAGCTGTTATACAAGGGATTGTTATTATTATGACCGGAATGTAATTGAAATCAATTAAGATTTTGGAACGCAGAAATAAAGAAAACCACCAAACCATATATAAATTATATAGTTTGGTATTTGAACGATTGGTATTAGTAATTGTATTGTAAATTGGTATTGTTATGATGAGGCTATTATTGGATTATAATTGAAAACAAATAAATTTATTATTTTTTTAAAAAATGACCTCAAATTTATAAGCATCTGGGTAGGCTCAGAAGACTGCTTTCAGCAGGCGCTGAAAAGATTTCACGGAAGTGCCTGCCTGAACTCAATAGGCAGGGAGTTCCAAAGGGCCACACTCAACGATCAAGTCCTTACAAACGGTGGAACGGGTGGGATGTGGCACCTGTAGTCGTGCCAATTCTGCCGATCGAAATGGTCAAATGGGTGTATGTGGGGTAAGACTATCTCGTAGGCATGCTATACCAAATATCCAGGCATCCCTCCAGATGTTTTGGGACTACAATTCCCATCATCCCTGCCCACTGGTCCTGTTAGCTAGTGATGATGGGAGTTGTAGTCCCGAAACATCTGGAGGGCTGAGTTTTGGGATGCCTGAAATATACTACACATTTCAACCCTGCACATATTTGCTTTAACGCACAAATAGTGCTACCAGCAACTGACTTTGGCTAGTAGGCCCTTGGAAAGTGGCTGGAGGAACTTCTGCTTCCTTTTGCTGTGGCCGTTTTTCAGATTTGTCTGATACGCAAAACAAAAGATATATCTGTGTGGCCTGGAAACCTCTACTCTCTGAGGAAGACCACAGAATATTCATGTTCATACGACAGCTCTATGCACAGGTTACTCATAAGTAGGACATATTAATATATGGACTGGAGCAGGGTCATGCCTTTAGCCACCTGTCCAGTCTTTTTGCTTTTGTTTTTTTAACAGCTGTGTGTTGAATGCAGTTGTCTGGATAGGCAGGTCATCCCTATTTGTGCAAAGCTGCTACACTCGAGGACTGCATTAGTGTACAGTGGTACCTCTGGTTAAGAACTTAATTCGTTCCGGAGGTCCGTTCTTAACCTGAAACTGTTCTTAACCTGAGGCACCACTTTAGCTAATGGGGCCTCCTGCTGCCGTTGCGCCGCCGCCACGTGATTTCTGTTCTCATCCTGAGGTAAAGTTCTTAACCCGAGGTACAACTTCTGGGTTAACGGAGTCTGTAACCCGAAGCGTTTGTAACCCGATGTACTACTGTATTGGCTTTCCTACACAGAAGGCACTCTATTGACACTCAGTTGTAAACATGTCAGGGAGAAGGCTAGTTTGAATCATCTCTGTGCTGATTTCCCGTGAGCCGAAATATATGATTCCCTTCCTGCAGTCTGAAGTGTTACACACCCGGATAAACGGTATTGCATCTGTCGAGTGTTTAATGGCAACTTCCCTGAGGATGCAGACAGCACATTAGTTGGGAATAACAAAAACCGAGTCCTTGAGAACCAGGGTAGTATGTCTGCCTTGCTGGGGGCAGATGTGGGGGCACAGTTCTTCTCATAAACAGCTGATAAGGGGGCGGACATTTTTCCGAAGGTACTGTTCTAGTTGAGATTCCTGCATTGCAAGGGGTTGGACTAGATGACCGTCGGTGTCCCTTCCAGCTCTACAGTCCTATGACGCTATAATTCTATTTCTTCAGACTGCGGGTGGAGGTCTGCAAAAACAATTGTGCTCATACGAAACAAGTCCAGAAGAAGAAGCTTGGCAAGGGGTGGAAAAAAACTTTCCCTGATATCAAGTTTTCAGAGTACAGACAATTTTTGTGTGTGTGTATGTTCCTTCATGTGAAATCCCTAAGCAGGGTGAGTTTTACCTTTTATCTGTTGTTGAGGAGAACTTGGCCCAGGGACTTTTTGAGCGAAGAACTGGACTAACTTGACAAATTCCAATTAAATCCTAAGGGTGTTGTCATAAATAATAATCTTACATCTACAACACATGGATAATTTCATACAGTTTATCTGACTGCTTTAAATATTCACCGAAGGGGGCTGGGGAACAAGTCTGTGATAAACTATGCTTTATATACCTATATTCTCACAGTACAGGCGGCCAAGGGAAGGGGGGGGAAGGACAAGTGCTGATATTGAGTGTCTTTTAGGTTCCACTTTCGTACTGGGCTCGTCAGATGTCCCTGCTTCTTGGAGGGTGGTTCCAAGTCTCAGGTTGATCTTTTTCCCCTCCCACTGTGCTTGTAGCACGTATATAAACGTTGAGCTCTCTGGAGCCTCTTGCCAGTTCTCTTCTCAGACTAGTCAGGAGCAACAGAGAGACAAAAGGATGGAGCTCCTCTGGGTTGCCACAGCCACCGTTTGCTTTCTGTCCGTTTTCCATACGGCAGAATCTTCCACTGCTTATTATGACAAGATTTTAACCCACAGTCGGATCAGGGCACGTGATCAAGGGTAAGTCTGCATTTCGTCCTCCTAAAATTCATCACTGGGGTCGCAAAGTTATTGCGCAGCCAAAAGTGGAGGGGTCCAAAAAGGGGATAACATTTGGCGAAGTAATATTTGTAAGAAATATATATATACACTGGAAGGTTGAAGGTTGCTAACCGAATAAATTAGCTAGCTGTTGGACAGAAAAAGAAAAAGAAATCATCAAGTTTATGTACAGTATAAAACATGTACATAAAACAGGACATTTCAGGAGGGTGAAACTGTGCCAGAGCTCAGTTTAGACATCTGTTTTCCAAGGGCTCAACTCTGGAATATATTATGTCTCTGCCCCCCAAGCAGATTCAGAGCACATTTCCCTAAGTAATCAAGAACCCACATTCATCAAGGATTGCAGAAAAAGACTGTCAGGTTAGAGGGCACAAAAATGTGAGCCCTGTCACCTCTTTTTGAGACATGAAGAACTCAATTTCAGATTTACTCAACCTGTCACCCTTTTAGGTGTAGCCCAGACTAGATAACTGTTACCAATTAATTGCAATAGTATGATATGGGAGGGTTTTGGGATTTTTTATTTTCCAAACAAGCAGTTTCTTGATTCACTTTTAACCTCTGAATGTGATAAACATTATTGAATGTTTATGAGATATTCTGCCTAATTAAAATGGTATGTTAAAAGTTCATTATGGACAAACAGCAATTGCTTATATAGATGGAAATGTTAAGGACGGAAATGCTCGTAATACTTTTAAAATAATTAAATGAAACCTAATCTAAAACACTGCTGTTCCATAGTTATCTTCCACATGAAGTTTGAAGCTGGAAGTTTTGCACAGCAGAATGTACAAGCAAACCCCATTGGAATGAATGGTGCCTGTTCTTGCACAGCTATCCTTCATTTCACTGGAGCTTCTGAAGACATTTCCTTTTTCAAATCAAAAGGATTCATTATTAATATTCAAAAGGGTGGGTTGTTTCACCCCCTTTTTCTCATTTGGTGAAGGGATTATTTATTTAGCTGCTCTTGTGCTATTCCAAACAGTGGCAACCAAAATAAACGATTGTACGATGGAAGATGAGAGTTTCCCTTGGGTCGGCAGAGGGGAAAAAAATGTTTGCCTTACTCCATTATCGCCCCCTGCCCCACAACTGCAAATTAAGCTTTGCAGCTGTGCAGAAGATGACACCAAACAGGAGGGAAGGGTGATGAACTTGCCAGTGAAAGAGAATAACAGTTCTATCATATTACCTTCCTCTCTCTGAAAAAAAAAAAAAAAATCTCTTGGGAACTGATAAGATTTGGCTGTAAAAAAACCAACAACATTAAATTTCCTGAATTGAAATTCAGAGGTGGCTGTTTGAAATATCATTTGGTGTATGGCACAGCATGTTCTAGATCATTGGTCTTCCAACTGGTGGATCAGGATCTACTAGTGGCCTGATCCAAGTTGGGTCATAAGAAGAACACTACTGCCATGTTGAAAGATTCAGAAAAGAGTCCCCAATTACATGTTTTGGTTAAAATGGGGTCCTTGGTCTGAGAAGGTGGGAGATACCTGGTTTAGATGGGAAATCCTATTGTCCATCTCTAGCCTTGGCTATTCAAGTGCGAGGGGGGGGGAGGAATAGAAATGAAGTAGGGAAACCATTGGAAAGCAGAAGGAATCCCAAAGGTAGAGACTGAAATTTCTGCTCAGAGACAAGTGTAATGTGAACAAACTCGGGGGGGACGGGAGACACCAAGCCAGTGGACATTTGCAAGTGAAGCTGTCAAACATGGTTTGATTCGAACTCTGAGTCTCCTGATCATTTTTCAGTATGAAATGTTACACGCCATGTCTGTGCAAGTAAACTTTTACACACTTTGGGAGGCATTTATCAAAAGAGTCCCCTGAAATTGACTTGGGGGGGGGGCAGGTGGGAGAACCTCCAGAGAACAGCGTGCCGTGGAAATAGAGGAGAGACCGTTCCATCTGGCAAGCTGCAATGTTTGTGCTGGCCGGACGTTCACCACAGCCCAGCGTTGAATTCCACCCAATATTTCACTTGCATGAACTCTCATGAACTTTAATCAAGCTACCATATCGGAAAGAGACTCCAGCCAATGTTTGCTTTTTAAGATGAACGCATTAGGCGCCATTAGGACTTCTTCCCTGAGATAATTTCATTAAAGTTTTTTTTGTGTGTGACAAAACAGACAGATAAACAGGGAAATGTACATCTATTGTCTCCACTTTCAATTCACCATCTTTTTTACTGTTCGTTTACATATAGTGAAAGACAATTTTTGCCATGGACACCTTGCATTTGGGGGGGAAAGAGACAGGGGAGAGAGGCAGGAAAGAGATGGGGGTATTGTCCATTCGTTCTATTGCCTATTATTAGTGTACAGATTTGTGTCAGCATCATGTGGGTAGGTTCATTGTTTATGTATTTATTTATTTTGATTGATAATGTGAGAGATTAGTGTGTCCTAAGCTTGGCTGGTTGTGTTCAGTGTGGTTTGTTTGTTTGTTTGTTTGTTTGTTTGTTTGTTTGTTTGAATGTGTGTGGGGGGGGTTGTTACGTTGCTGGGTCAGTTAGGTATTGATTTGTATGCTGTTGTGGGGAAATAGGTCATTGTCATGTTGTCCATGTGATAAAGGGAAACCATATTGCTGCGAAGGTAGGGTTGCCATATTTCAAACAGAAAAAATGAAGTTTTTGAGCTATTTTTAAGGGAAATGGCCAAAAACAACACTGCTGACATGGGTTGCCATACGTCCGGATTTCCTGAGACATTTCTAGCAATTTCTGTCCAGACAATGCTTTTGACTGCTGCATTCTGGATATGTCTGGGAAATGTATGGCAACCCTAGGTGAAGGTGTTCCCCTTTGCTTGTCCCCATTTGAATTGGTTGGTTAACCTCTCTAGCAGTCACTTACTCGCAGCAACTAGAAATATTGTAAATAGACCCTGGAAGGATCTGTCTGAGGTGAACATAGACCACCAGTACCAAAATGTGTGGGGAACCATTAGGACTTCTTAACGTTTCCTTCTTTCTCTCTCCCAGCCCAAATGTCTGTGCTCTCCAACAAGTTGTGGGCACCAACAAGAAATACTTCAGCACGTGCAGGAATTGGTACCAGGGAGCCATCTGTGGCAAGAAAGCGTAAGTCCCGTGCCTTTCATGACTATTAAACCTGGGTGACCAAACCTGTGACATAAGCTTCTCAAGCAACGAGGACATGTGGCAACACCGGGAGCAGGAGCGAGAAACCATGTGCGCCTCGCTCTGGCCTAGAATCCAGACTCGGGTACAGTTCCCTGGCTCGGTAGGCTGGAGGAAAAATTATATGAAGGCAGGGAGGGTTCACATATGCAATGCAGTGGGCGCCAGACTTAATAAAGCACAGAATTACTGAAGATAAGTACACAAATATATTTCGTTTGCTGTTTTTATAGAGGTCACAGAAGCAATCGCTGAACGGACCTCTTAATGATTATTCTAGCATATTTCTTGCTGCTATTTCATTAGCAATAGAATTCGCCCTTCAACCCAGGGGGAAAGACAGTGGAAGTGTGGCTATGATGCAATGGAGCACTGTCTGTACTTGAGGAAAGGCAACCAGTGGCGTAGCGTGGGGGGTGCAGGGGGGGCCGGCCGCACCGGGCGCAACATCTGGGGTTAGGGCAAATCCACAGGTTAGGGGGCGCAAATCCACAGGTTAGGGGGCGCAAATCCACAGGTTAGGGGGCGCAAATTACTTGCCTTGCCCCGGGTGCTGACAACCCACGCTACGCCACTGAAGGCAACTAGTGATAGGTTTTTTATTTGGCTGCCAAATTTGCCATGTGTGTGAGGGAGGGAAATATCGAATCAGAAAACCATAGGCGTCTCTGTGATGTGAACTTTGAAGAGGTGACGCAAGGGGAGAGTCCTAAAATGTGCGATCCAAACCCCTCTGCCATACACAGGGTAGGGCTTGCAGTGAACACAATACCCCACTTTCTCTTCTCCAGGGCCTGCCTACTTGTATGGGAGAACAGGATGAGACTAGAAGGAATTCCTAGCTTGCTTAGTCAGGACCAAACAGGGTTAAGCTTTAAGCCCTCTCAAACGCCCTTCTCCTTTCAAAAGGAGGAGATTGATGAATGCCACTTGGCTTCAGAGCCTTTCCCATGTTCAAACAGGCTGAAATGTGTTTGGTTTAGGGCTCATGTTTGTGTGCTTACTAGGTGCCGCAAACTGAATCAAACAGAAAAACATATTTTCCCTCCCCGCAAGGACGTTGGCAAAGACTGAGGTTCCATCTATCTCCTGGAACTCTTTCTTTCCCATACTTCTCAGATATGTGAGGCCTCAGTTTTCTAGATGCACTGAACCATGAGGGAACATATGGCTTTGCATATTCAAAGGCAATTGCTGGCTAGACATGAATCCCTTGAGCTTCCCAGAGGAAGTGTGCTATGTGTTTAAAGGAACATGATAATCGAAAATACACTCATATAACGTTTTAGTGGCAGCCATTACAGTTTGGCAAAATTTATGGCGCATCTGTAACAAATTTGTGTTAACCTAATTCTCTCCCCCCCCTTATTTTACTGGATCTGTTGTAGAACACTGCAGGGGGTGAGGGGGTGGCTTACATTTCTGCCTCTCTCTCTCTCTCGTTTTTATGAAAGGAAGATCAAAGCTGTAGGAGTTTGGCCACTCTCCTGTAGCTCCCAAGGCAAATTTTGTTAAGACATAGAATTGGAAAATGCATACCAATTGTCTCATCAATCATGAAAACTGCCATTTTATTCTATAAGTATTTGGTACATAAGGGACTGGGGTGGCACTGTGGGTTAAATCGCAGAGCCCAGGACTTGCTGATCAGAAGGTCGGTGGTTCGAATCCCCGCAACGGGGTGCGCTCCCGTTGCTCAGTCCCTGCTCCTGCCAACCTAGCAGTTCAAAAGCACATCAAAGTGCAAGTAGATAAATAGGTACCGCTCCGGCGGGAAGGTAAACGGCGTTTCCGTGTGCTGCTCTGGTTCGCCAGAAGCGGCTTTGTCATATGACCCGGAAGCTGTACGCCGGCTCCCTCAGCCAATAAAGCGAGATGAGCGCCGCAACCCAGAGTTGGCCACGACTGGACCTAACGGTCAGGGGTACCTTTACCTATTTGGTACGTAAGTTTAGTAAGGAAGCTTAAAATGTCTTCCTGTTGCATCCATGAGCCCTTTGAAAAGACCTAGAGCCCAAAGTGGCCTGTCTTATTAGGTGAAATAGATACCTGCATTTTGCTTTTGCTGTGGCTATGGCGCTGCCAAGTTGACCAGGCTCAACATACCTGGTCCAAAAGGGCCTTTGCAATGTGTTCTGAAGTGCCCTGTCAGCCTAGGAATTGGTATCCTTGGCTGACTTGTTCTTTTCCTGTATTGTGCAACTGACAGTTGTTTCCAGGGATTGTTTCAGTTGTGTATTTCCCTCTTTGAGTGCAAAGTCACCCAAGAGAGGTTAAGCTATGGCTGGGCCACCAATAGTAAACTAGTTTTACTGTGTCTCCTAATAAGTGATAAACCAGTATTTCATGCTCAATCAAATATATGTAGCCTATTGCACAGACTTATCTTCATATAGAAAGGGTACAACTGCCTGGACATTTTCCTCTTGAAGTTGTTGAATACGGCCATTGCAACCAGAATTGCCTTAACCCTGTACCCCAGCTTTTCCTCTTTATAATGACTCAAGGCAGTTAACAAATAAAAAAAGAACACTTTAAAACATAGGGAGGGGATCATAAAATATTAAATTTAATATAATTAAAACTACTATGCAGATAATTACAGTAAAAATTACAATAAAAACAGCATGGCACTAGCTCTTTCGTTTAGGGAAGTTTAGGGATTTAGCAGCAAAAATGCCAGGTCAAATCTCCAGCGATTCTTTTGTATTGTGTATTTTATTTCATTGCATTTTTTAAAAAAATATTTTTTATAAGTAACTTTGTGTCTTTTCTGGTAAAAAGTAGAAATCATAATGATGAAGCCAGTTTAACAAGTCAACAGCGGGGGAAATAAAATGTTGATATATTGATATATTGTGTTCATATATTGTAGAACTGTCTTGTATGAATGCTGCCCTGGTTATATGAAGATGGAAGGCGAACGAGGATGCCCTGCAGGTAACGTTGGAGAACATAAGAAGCTTATATTTTGCTTACTTTTTCTCCCAAAAGAAGGGGGCAGGTGGGGATATGAGGTAGCTTGTGAGAGATCATCGTTATGTTACGAAGCATTGCTTTAAGGAAGAGCCACACATTAAAACTAGGCCTTGTTTTTTAAGGACACGAGACGGATCTGTTTGTGCATAATACGTAAATGAGGAACTGAAGGAATATTGTGCAAAATGATCACTCACCTGCTCCCAGGGTGGGCGGCAGTTGCGACCTGTTGCCATCACCCCCCAGCTCCTTGGGACAAAACACTCTCTCATGGCGTGATTTATGACTTAACCAGCAATTAAAGTTCACTTGGGACAATCTGTCAGGATGCTTTCAGCAGCTCCCGGCTGGTTGCCCAGAAAAGTACAAAGACAAGGGAAAGTTTCTTACCGTCCTTTTTTATTTCAATCTTTACAGAGAGAGGCTATAGACCCCAGCCTCTCGCATAATGGTGTTGTCCCAAGTGAATCTCCACCCCCCCCATCTATCCCACTTCCTCATTCGTCACTTCTACGGGTGCTGCTACATGCCTTCTGTTTTTGAGCTCTTTGCTTTCCTACTTTTAAGGCTTGTCGGGTTCTGGGAGATGGAGGGTCTAGAATTTCAGCCGGGTGTTCCTCTGGCCGGAGCGGAGGAAGGAGGGTAGTGGGGACGGGTCGCCCTGGGTGTCACCACCCAGGCAGGACTCTCCTGGGAGAGACGCGGTGGCTTGGGCGCGCACAGGCTCTGTGCTGCCCAAATGGTCTGCCTGCTGCCTCCCCCCTGCTGTAGGGTGGCTCAGTGGAAGGAGGCAGGCAGACTCCGAAGGCCCCACGGTGCGCCCCGCCCCAATGGGCAGCTTGCACCGCCGGTGTGCCACCCCAGGCGCGCGAGCGGCTTCCTCCGCCACTGCCTCTGGTTCTCCCATGATTCACTAGCTTTCCCCCTCATCTGCTTCTGAGCTGCAACCTCCCTCAACCCCCTGTTGTAAATCTATGCTGTCTTCCTCTTCCTCCTCCCTGCAAGGGTCAGGATGGGGAGGCTGTTTCCACCATTCTTCCTCTGCCCAGTCCTTGACGTAAGCAAAACAACAACAAACCTATGGTTATGTGAAACATACTCAATAAACACACACGACGTAACCGGCTGTACTTTTGAATCAATAAGGTATAATATTCATTGTGTCAAATTGTAGATTTCAACTGAAGTCTCGTAAAGTTCAACGAAAAAAGCAGAAGACCCAGTGGATCATTTCGTTCTCTAGTCAGTTCATGCATAAGGTCCATACATGTACAAGTGGATTATTGGACTCTATGAACAGACAGGTGGAGTAGATACTTATACATGCATGGACCTTATGCATGAACTGACTAGAGAACGAACTGATCCACTGGGTCTTCTGCTTTTTTGTTGAACTTTATGATACTTCTGTTAAAATCTACAATTTGACACAATGAATATTATACCTTATTGATTCAAAAGTACAGCCTTGTACACACGTCTTGTGTGTTTATACAGCCCCTGACATAAGCTGGCTGCTCCCCAAGTATGGTAACTACATTTTTCATACCCTTGAGTGGACCATTTGTGTGTGGTCCACGTAACTAAACTATTTTCAGTAGTGTCCTTGTGGAAAGTGCGCAAGTTCCTAAGCAACCTGAAATGGTGGGTTGCCTTCCTTTGAACATCTGCTTTGTTACGTGGTTTGTGTACTGCTGCATCCTAAGTCAAATCATGAGCTACCTTGGGGGTCCTGAAGCAAGCAGCATTTAATTCAGCAAATCCCATGAATGATTTCTGCCAGATGAAGTGGCACAAACTAGGGTGAGGGGAGGGCAAACCCATTGTAAACAGAACGTACAGTGTGCTTGTTTCTTGTCTTTTTCAGTTGCCCCCATCGATCATGTCTATGGTACTTTGGGCATTGTGGGAGCGACCTCCACTCAACGCTACTCTGACATGTCAAAACTGAGAGAAGAGATTGAAGGACCTGGCTCGTATACAATGTTTGCACCAAGCAATGAAGCCTGGGATGCTTTGGATCGTGTACGTATTTCAGAATGGATTTTTTAAAAAATGTTTCAAGTGCTTTTGGATTTTTGGATATATAAATCCAAGTTATGCAAATTAATTATTGGTGGGGGAAATAGTAAAACTCAGCTGCTGAACATAAATTTAAGAAAAACTTAAACCCTTGGCATTATTAAACCTAAGTCCTGTGCAAGGACTTCCGCTTATGCAACAGGGACTTCCACTCCCCCCATCTCCTCAGATTGGCTCACCGGGGGCAGGTGTCAGGAACAGAGTGTGCAGGGAGGAAATGGGAAATTGTTCTGTCTGGAAGCCAGACTGCTTGCTCTGATAGACCAGGTGCCTTAGCACGATGTTGCATACCTCCTGTGTGCTCTTGGACATCTCGATAATCTTTATTGTCATTGTCCCATACAGAACAACGAAATTGAAAAAATCTACATCAGACATTCAAAAACCAATAAGCCTGCTATCCCAGCCTGGTTAACCCCCTAAAAACTCTGATACCCCATAATTAAATACAATAAACTCCCACAGAGACTACACACATTGTGTTTAAAACAAAAATTGCATTTGGATAAAAACTGTTTCTCAGGCGGCTTGTCCTAGTCTTTATAACCCTGTACCTTCTTCCAGAAGGCAAAATCTGAAAGAGATCATTTCTGGGGTGCGCACTATCTCTGCAGCTTTCTTATGACACATGGAAGCATAGATTTGATCCAAGGTGGGAAGAGTGCATCCAATTATTCTCTCCGCAGTCTTTACAGCCCTGGACAGCATTGTTTTTCCCCTGACCATGCAGCTCCCAAACCACACACACAAACCATAAGTTAATACACTCTCACATTGCCCAGTGGTAGAGGAAGCAGCAACAACACCACTTTGGCTCCCAGGCCACCAAAGTAATACAGTCGTACATCGGAAGTCAAACGGAATCCATTCCGGAAGTCCGTTTGACTTCCAAAACATTTGAGAACCAAGCCATGGCTTCCGATTGGATGCAAGAAGCTCCTGCAGCCAATCAGAAGCCGTGGAAGCTGTGACTGACGTTCAGGTTCCAAAGAACATTCACAAACCAGAACACTCACTTCCAGGTTTGCAGCATTCGGGAGCCAAAACATTCAACTCGCAAGGTGTTTGACTTCTGAGGTATGACTGCAAACGTAAGAACCTGACCACAGGCTAAGATCAGGAGGTCAAAGATGAAGGCCCAGGATAGGGCTTGATAAGAACGTTGGCTGGGTTGACAAATGGCAAGCAGTGCTGAAAATGGCCTTTTGATCCCAGAAAGGCTCTGCAAATTTATTCAGGTTTGAGGCGCAGAATATGTTGGCTGCACAAATAATGTGGAAAAATGTTTGTGGAATAGTGGGTAACATGTAAGGAAAAGCAAAGGGGGATGTGAAAGAAGACAAGATGTCCAAGACCGCACAAATAAATGAAAGTTGTAATTCATGGAGCTGCGGTACTTTCAAATGAAAGAAACTTAGAAGCTTAGCAGCTGGATGCTAAATGAAGTACTGTAGCTTGCCAAAGGGAATATTAGCATGAAAAAAACATTAGCATGGATTATTTCACTTGTAGCAGAGTAATCTGGTGTATATCAGGCTGACTGGGATGATGGCCATGGAAAGTCTAACTGAATCTCTTCCCCTAGGAAATTCACGAAGGCCTGATTGAAAATGTAAACATCGAACTGTACAATGCCCTCCATAACCACATGGTGAACAAGCGCATGTTGACAAAGGACCTCAGGAATGGCATGGATCTGGTGTCTATGTACGACAACCAAAAACTGCATATAAATCACTACCCCAATGGTGTAAGTCTGTTTAATTATTCTTTTTCTCATAAAGCACCATGAACTTTAGCCCCTGGAATAGAGGACATTGTAATGTTGCATGTGATATTTATGTTATAAATGTGGCTCTAAACTTGGAAAGAGCTGTAAACTTCAACTTTCTAGATAGAATTTCATTTTTATAGGTGTTTGGTGGGATCCAAAGATGCAGCATGATTCTATGCATGCTTACTCAGAAGTAAGTCCCAGTGGGGAATACTCCCGGGGAAGTGGTAAAGGATTGTAGCTTCAGTTAGTTGACCTAAGGTCCTGCTGCAATCAAGTCAGACATGGCTATTTATTTATTCTTATTAGTTATATGTCATTTTTTAATCAATGATTTCAAGGCACTTTACAAAATCCAAAGATGTACCAAACTATCAGCAGGTTAAAAACAATGGCTACTAACACAGTGTTAAATTTCGCTCTCTATGTTCACCTTAAAGAATTTAAAAACATTATTGCTACCAAATATAGGACATGAAATGTATCTGGTACATGTTTCATTGCAATGTGTGTTCTAGCAAGATTCTTTCCAGAATGTTTTATAGGAGACATCTCATCACACATCCCATAAAGGCAATAGAAGCATAAAGAAATGTGTAACGCTTTCTCGATAATCTTCTGGTTGCCAGCGAGTTCTGTGCTGAATATTCTCTGGCATCATTCTTCAAAAATGCAGGTTGTTACAGTTAACTGCGCTAGAATCATCCATGGTAACCAAATTGCTACAAATGGTGTTGTGCATGTCATCGACCGTGTGCTGACCCCTGTTGGAAATACCATTCAAGACTTCCTTGACGTGGAAGATGATCTTTCATCTCTCAGAGTAAGCTTTCCTTCATAATTATGAACGTCCTTTAGCCTTTAGCCTTGATAGTTGCTGCATCCTGATTTAAGCACACATCTAACACAGTTAGCTTTTTGGTGTTAGCTTTTGTGTTGGACACCTGCCTGCTATTTTTCCATGTTAAAAACTTCTTTATAAAGAAACCCTCCCCAGTCTCTTCCAGCTTCTCCCACTGTTTTCTGCTCTCCGTGTTCTGCCCTCCCAGCTCCCATTCCATGGCCACTGCTGTTGTGCAAATCCTGGATTGGCGTGAGCCACTACAAATACCACAATGGGAGCTGTGCTACGACAGCCTTAATTTTATTTATATATACACACACACTAGGACGCGGGTGGCGCTGTGGGTTAAACCAAAGAGCCTAGGACTTGCCGATCAGAAGGTCGACGGTTCGAATCCCCGCGACGGGGTGAGCTCCCGTTGCTCGGCCCCTGCTCCTGCCAACCTAGCAGTTCAAAAGCACGTCAAAGTGCAAGTAGATAAATAGGTGCCACTCTGGCAGGAAGGTAAACAGTGTTTCCATGTGCTGCTCTGGTTTGCCAGAAGCGGCTTAGTCATGCTGGCCACATGACCCGGAAGCTGTACGCCGGCTCCCTCGGCCAATAAAGCGAGATGAGTGTTGCAACCCCAGAGTCGGCCACGACTGGACCTAATGGTCAGGGGTCCCTTTACCTTTTATACACACACCAAAAAATACATGTAGATATAGTATATGTATTTGGCTTTCCAGCTAATTGTTGAGTAGCCAAATGAGCACATGGGGTAGGGGGAGCTTCCTTGCAATGCAGGCATTTAAGTGTTCCTACTTTTGTGAGTATACATCTAGGAAAACAACTCTATAATGCTTACATATTGTATTATGAGTTGCCCAATCCAGTGACTATGAAAAAATACTGGTCTTAAGTGACCATGGGAAGAGTATTACCGTACTCGACTCATTTAAAATATTGCTTTTATGTTCCTAAAATATCAAGGTGCTTAATAACGGCATCTCTTTCTTTCCAAGACTGCTGCCATGGCATCAGATGTGATGGAAACTCTTGGGAAGCCTGGGCAATACACGCTCTTTGCTCCTACCAACGAAGCTTTTGAGAAACTTCCACGTGGAGTCTTAAACAGGATTATGAACGACAAGGTGGCTGCTAAAGGTATTTCTGTAAAGTTGATATTGTGGGAAAAGAAAAAGAGACAATCCATTTCACAGCTTTGGAGCTGGTATGTCCCACAGAGGAACTTACAGTCTTCAAACAAAAACATCCTGAAGGTCCCAGGCCACAGGGAGGTTAGGCTGGCCTCAACTAGAGCCAGGGCTTTTTCGGCCGTGGCCCCGATCTGGTGGAACGCTCTGTCACAAGAGACTAGGGCCCTGCGGGACTTGACATCTTTCCGCAGGGCCTGCAAGACAGAGCTGTTCCACCAGGCCTTTGGCCAGGGCACAGCCTGACTCCCTCCTTTGGCAGTCTTCACAGAACTTTAGCCTAATGGTTGCCATCAATTTTATTTGAATTAATTTTATAATGAAATGAATTTAGAATGTTGTACTATTTTATTGTTGTTAGCCGCCCTGAGCCCAGCTTTGGCTGGGGAGGGTGGGATATAAATAAATTTTTTTATTATTATTAATAGTTAAGAACATGATATGTCTCCCACCATGTTAGACCATTTGCTGTAAATAAGTATGACAAAATTGTCCATGTGCAATTATTTTGAATCCCAGCTCTGTTCCAGGAGGCATAACAACTGCCTCTAATAAGTGAGATAAGTTAGGGTTGCCCTATGTTGCAATTTTGCCCAAAAAGCTCAACAACGTTTCTGTCTGGATTTTCACTGTTTGAAATATGGCAACCCTAGAGAAGTAATAAATAGCTGTTGAGTCTGCCGTGTTTGTAGGTGAGCCTGGAGTATTGCCCTCCCATTTGCAGCAGCACAGCCCAACACATTCTTCGGATTGTTCCTCTTCAAAACTCAGGGCTCATTCCCACTTTTGCCTGACCAGTATTTTGGTCGTATTGTGTACCGATGAATTCCCCAGGGTCTGAGAGCTTTTCTCGCTGTTCCGCAGCTGTGCCTTGCGAAAATCCAATTTTACCTGCTGAAATGAATCTTATCAGATGTGCAAAAAAATCCGAAGGGAGATTTTGCTCAGCCAATCTTCAATTCAGCGGGTGAGATCGGATTTTCGCAAGGCACAGCTGCGGAAAAAAAAATGAGAAAAGCTCTCAGAACGGGGGGGGGGGGGTGTTGGTATACAATACAATCAAAGTAATGGTCAACTGAAAGTGTGGATGAACCCATTACCCCTCCATAAGGTGAGAATTTCTGCTATTCATCCTCCTTTCATTACCTTTCTGTAAGTTGTTCCCAAACTATCAGTGTCATCAGTGTCTTGCATCTGCAGCTCGTCGCATAAATGTACAGTGGTACCTCGGGTTACATACGCTTCAGATTACATATGCTTCAGGTTACAGACTCCGCTTACCCAGAAATAGTACCTTGGGTTAAGAACTTTACTTCAGGATGAGAACAGAATTGTGCTCTGGCGGCAGCAGGAGGCCCCATTAGCTAAAGTGGTGCTTCAGGTTAAGAACAGTTTCAGGTTAAGAACGGACCTCCGGAATGAATTAAGTACTTAACCCGAGGTACCACTGTATTTCCATTAGCCCATTGCTGCATAATGTGTAAGCCTGTAAGGAGTTTGAAGTAAGTTACTAGGTAAATGATGATAGGAAGGGTGGTTTCTTCTTGTCTTCCCACATCTTTCCTACCCAACATTATGGGTATCTGAAAAACTGTACCTAGAGCACATGTGGTCAGCTTCAGCTTACTTAGAAAGACAACCTTTCATACATGCCCCTTTTAGGAAAATAATAGCAGCAATGAGACATTAATGTTCACAACAGCTTCAGTTCTTGAATATGCCTTATGTGCTATTATGCTTTGAGCAGATGAAATTGAGAAAGCTGTAACAGCACCTTTCAGTGTAATTGGTGCGACCGCTGAGGATACAAAACCTCACCAACTAAGCTCTAGTAAATGAAACTTCCTGCATTTGAAATGTGCTCAGAACTACTCAAATGGTATACTTTTGTATCCCATAAACATTCTATAAAAGAAAAGGGAAGTCCCATTAGAATCTTTACAGCTAATGGTTACTGCAAGTTACAGCTTGCATCTGTTCTTCTCATTAAGAAAGGGCAGTTGATACATAGACAGTGTAGGAGTAAGAATTTTCCCTGCTTCATATGTCAAAGGAAAAAGAAAGGGAGGATCTCGAGGGAGTCGTGCTCAGCTTTAGCAACAGGATATCTGGAAGTGCTCACTAGAAATCATCTCTCAAATGCTATCTTCCTCCCATAAGCTTACGACAATCTCATTTGACTGAAAATAACATTTCTGCTCCAATTGTTTTAATCATGTCATAACCTTCACCTTCCCCTGGCGTCTAACTATGTATGTGTAATTTCTTTGTTTATTTGGTGCAGTTGCATGTTGCCCCATAACACAAAGTTCTTTGGGCAGCTTATAATAATACAGTGGTACCTTGGTTCTTAAACTTAATCCGTTCCGGAAGTCTGTTCCAAAACCAAAGTGTTCCAAAACCAAGGCATGCTTTCCCATTGAAAGTAATGCAAACTGAATTAATCCATTCCAGACTTTTAAAAACAACCCCTAAAACAGCAATTTAACATGAATTTTAATATCTAATGAGACCATTGATCCATAAAATGAAAGCAATAATCAATGTACTGTACTATAAAATAAATAAGACAATATTGTAGATGATAAAAATTAAAATTATTTTTTGTTTCTTACCTGCACTGATGATAGTCTTTGTTTGGATGGGGGGCTTTTATCCATTTCCACAGTCACACAGTCAATCAATCTGAACTGGGTTCCACACAGTCACAAAAACAATTTAATCGAAAAGCCTCAAAAACAAAAATGCAAAATTAATAGCAAAAACGAAAAAGCACCATACTTAATCAGTTTCAGAAGTCCATTTGACTTCCAAAATGTTCAAAAACCGGGGCACAGCTTCTGATTGGTGTAGGTGCCCCGGAAACAACAGTCAACAGCCGCATCGAATGTTCGGCTTCCGAAAAAAGTTTGAAAACTGGAACACACACTTCCGGGTTTTTGGAGTTTGAGAACCAAGGTGTTTGAGAACCAAGGTACCACTGTAATAATAATAAAACCTTGAAACTAAAAAATAAGCAACTCAGGACCGCAATACCTCAAGGACTGCCTCTCTCCATATGAACTAACCCATACCTCCATGAGAGGTCCCAAGGTGGCAACACAAGAACAGGCCTTTTCTGCAGTGGCTCCCCATTTGTGGAATGCTCTCCCCAGGGAGGCTCGCCGGGAGCCTTCATTATACTCCTTTAGGCGCCTGGTGAAAACGTTCCTCTTTAACCAGGTCTTTGGTTGATTGACATCCGATGCCCTTTTAAATGAGTTGTGGGAAGGAGAATTATTGGTTTGCTGCTGTTGTTGTTATTTTTGCTACAAATTTTGTGGGTTTTATATTGCGATTTTATGTTGTGAAGCACCCTGAGATCTGCACATGAAGGGTGTTAATTCATATTTAATAAATAATAATAAACCATAGCAGCATTAAAATCAAAACCAAAGAAATGCAACAACAAAAAGAGCACAATTGTCCCAAAATCATAAACTCAGAGATCCAGGTTACCTAAGTTGCTTTGAAGGCCTGGGTAAACAGAAAGATTTGCCTGACCAAAAATAGGGTGGCAGGCAAACTTTTCTGAGAAGACAATTCCATACCCGGGGTGCCGCTACCAGAAAGGTTGTATCACTCATAATTACCTTCCTGACTTCACCTGAAGCAGGATTTCTGAAGCTTGAAGAAGGTACATTTGGAAGGAAGTGGTCTTTCAAGAAACCTGGTATTTCAAGTAAGACATCAGTTTAGAACTCTCTGAGGAGAAAGCAACCTCTCCCACGAGAATTCTCTAGCAGAGCCGTTTCTAAATCAAATTCAGGGGTCTTTGACCATGACCAAAGCACTGTCCCTGATAAAAATGGAAATTTCTGGTAAAAAGGAAGGGAAACTACAAAGTCAGATGTTTAAGTTAGAGAAGTGCCTTGGCAGTTTACCTAGGCGTCAGGTCTAGTTGTTGGCCTGGCTGTCGATTTTATAACTCACTCCAGTTGGTTTTTTATCTCAGTGGAACCATGCGCCTGTGAAAGATTGGCAGGAAAAAGCTGGAAATGCCTTTAGCCTTACCGCTTCTCTTGTAACACCTTTGCCGCATGCCAGCTGAGAACCGTCTTACCGGGAGGGAATTCCCAACTGGCCTGTTAGATCAATTACCCCACTTGGCACCACAGAAAATGCTGCATAAAAGGGGGGAAGAGTGAAGCTTTCTTTTCCATGTTATCACAGTGCACCAGAAGCACACTGATATTTTAAAGAAAAAAGAGGGAGTTAGTTTCACACTAAAATAGGTAGATGTGGTTGGGGGACAAAATTGATTCTATGGTTACCGACTGACTGGCCACTAGCCTATTTTGTCCATCGAAAAGGATTAAGTTGGGGAGCAAAAAGAGAAATGCCACCACTTTTTGGTGTTGTTGTTTTTTTAGGGCGGCCTCTATAGTGAGGCAGAGCTAGGTGTCAATTAGTGTGCTTATTACATTTTTACAATGGCAGGGGGGATTTGAACTTCCTTCCTCAAGTACCAAAATATCTTAGATCATCGCTGTCTTTTAAGTGCACTGTAAATAGAGGTTCAGGTCAAATATTGGTCTCCAATTCACATTTTAAATATAGGGATCATATTATTTGATTAAAGGTTCATGAGTTTCGCAGTCATGATAGATCTAATAACCTATTATTATAATCCAGAGCTATTATTATGTTATGATAGTGGCAACGGTTAGAATAGTTTCAACAGCCTTGCTGAGAGACAACCAAGTTTAAAATTCCCTACTATAGGTCTCCCTGTCCAAAGAACCTCATTAGACTGGCTCCCTCACAGTGTTCCAGAAACTGGACGAAGACTTGTTATGCCACACAGGGGCTAGTGGGGTTGCTGCGTGTTGCTTTCTCCTGTGGCTTTTGCTTTTGAATTCAGATGCTGAGTTCATCATAGTGTGTTTGGGTTGTGGCAGCTCATTAGGAGAACCGCATTGCTTCTTGGGAAACCTGCGGTGTGAACGTGTGGGGCATGAGTAGGCAAACTAAGGATCGGGGGCTGGATCCGACCCAATCGCCTTCTCAATCCAGCCCGCGGACGGTCCAGGAATCAGCATGTTTTTACATGACTAGAATGTGCCCTTTAATTTAAAATGTATCTCTGGGTTATTTGTGGGGCCTGCCTGGTGTTTTTCCATGAGGAGAATGTGTGCTTTTATTTAAAATGCATCTCTGGGTTATTTGTGGGGCATAGGAATTCGTTCATTTTTTCCCTTCAAAATATAGTCCGGCCCCCACAAGGTCTGAGGGACAGTGGACCAGCCCCCTGCTGAAAAAAGTTTGCTGACCCCTGGTGTAGGGTTATTGGCCAAATGCGATTGGGTTTGAGATTCATGCATAACATAGTAGAATCACAGAATCATAGAACTGTAGAGCTGGAAGAGACCCCAAGGGTCATCTAGTCCAACCCCCTCAATGCAGGAATGGCTAAGAGATTGATATGTGAAACCAGCACCGTTCTGGCAGCTCAGTATGAACCGTCTGAAATAAGCAGCACTGGCAACTTTTGCCTCTCCCTCTGCCCCCTTCCCACAAACAGCAAGTTACTGATTCATGTCACATATTGCCACCGGAGAGATAATGTACAGGGTTGTTTTTTTTTAATGAAACAGTTTAAATATATGTTCTAAATATCCCTAGCTATATGTGCTATTTAATGGTTTTGCTATTTTTCTGCTCGTGATTTTGATTCTAATGTAAGTGTAATAAGTTGCAAGGTACAAAATAAAATTCACAATGAAATGTACCTTTGAAGGGCTAAGTGTGGTGTAGTGGTTAAGAGCGGTAGTCTCGTAATCTGGGGAACCGGGTTCGCGACTCCACTCCTCCACATGCAGCTGCTGGGTGACCTTGGGCTAGTCACACTTCTCTGAAGTCTCTCAGCCTCACTCACCTCAGAGTGTTTGTTGTGGGGGAGGAGGGGAAAGGAGAATGTTAGCCGCTTTGAGACTCCTTAAAGGGAGTGAAAGGCGGGATATCAAATCCAAACTCTTCTTCTTCTTCTAAGCCCTTGTCCAAAGGCATATGATGCTTGTAAAAGGTCTTGTTCAAGTGCAGTCCACACTCACTTTTCTAGCTGGAGCAAGCACATAGCAAATGTTTCAATATGGGTACTACTAAAGGTGTGTGGGAATCTCTCTTTCCCCCTAAATAGTTAAGAACGTTCCAATCTCTAGTGGAAATGAATGTCATTATTTACAAAACGAAAGCAAAACTCATTACATTAACTGTTTATAATGGCATTGTATTTTCTAAAACGTACCAGTTTTAGATGGCTGCAGCATCGCCTCAGGTTTCATTTGAGTCCTTTCTGTTCTCTCCCCTGTTTAGCTCTGATGAAGTTCCACATTCTGAATACACTCCAGTGTTCTGAAGCCATCATGAGTGGAGGTGTCTACGAGACCTTGGAAGGCAATACTGTCGAAGTTGGCTGTGATGGCGAAAGCTTGACAATCAATGGCGTCAAAATGGTGAAGCGAAAAGACATTGTGACAAGCAATGGTGTCATTCATCTAGTAGACCAAGTGCTTATTCCTGACTCTGGTGAGTCTTCTTCTTTTTCTTTGGCGATGACTCGTAGCCGAGTAAGAATGTCTTCCTTAAACACGGTTTTAACAGTGAGTCCATAAGTGACTGTGGAGGCCAATTCTGGATCCTCCCATAGTGGGGACATAGGTTTCCGGGCGGGCGTTGGTCACGGTGAGGGTTTGCCAATGTGCCTTCCTCTTAGCACATTTCTCCCTTTCTTCATGAGTTTGAGGTTCTTCAAAGCCCATGACATCTTTGGTAGAGGCTGTTCTCCAATTGGAGCGTTCACAGGCCGGTGTTTCACAGTTGTCTGTGTTTATGCTACATTTTTAAAGATTTGACTTGAGAGTGACACACAGGCGACTTCCAATCCTATGCACTTTCTATAGTACTAATTGACCCCTGGAATAGATAGGCAGGTAGTCTCAACTAATTGTCTCTTTTGAAGAAGTAACCCATTTATGAACTCTATGGATATTCCTTGTGTATCCTTTTAAAAATATTTGTCTGTTTGGCAAGAGTTTTGGAGCGAAACCTAATGCTTGTCCACCCATTTCTTCCTCAATTTCAGCTAAGCAAGTTATAGATCTTGCTGGTCCTCAACAAACCACCTTCAAAGACCTGGTGTCTCAGGTTGGCTTGGCCGCAGCTTTAAAGCCAGAGGAGGAATATACCTTGCTAGCTCCAGTGAATGGGGCTTTCTCCGGTAGGTAGACCGACAGACTTGGTGGCACTAAAAATAACTCTTAAGAGATATCTTAAATATCTTCTTCAACAACTTTGTGAAGAAGTCCAACACGAGAGAGTTGAAACTACTTACAGTCACTGAAACTGAAATCCCCTTGATAGATTTAAGATGCTCAGACTCTACAAATAAGTCTTGATCAATACAAGAAGATAGCTCTATGAGACCTGTTGCTGGAAGTCCATGGGACCTCCATGGCTAGGAGTGAGTGCCTGGTAGTTCCATGCTATGGTTGCTTCACTGTCATGGGACGTGGGTGGCACTGTTGTCTAAACCACTGAGCCTCTTGGGCTTGCCGATCAGAAGGTTGGCGGTTCAAATCCCCACGACAGGGTGAGCTCCTGTTACTCTGTACCAGCTCCTGCCAACTTAGCAGTTCGAAAGCACGCCAGTGCAAGTAGATAAATAGGTACTGCTGTGGCGGGAAGGTAAACGGCTCTGTATACCCCAGTTTCCGTCACGGTGTTCTGTTGCACCAGAAGTGGTTTAGTCATGCTGGCCACATGACCCGGAAAGCTGTCCGTGGACAAACGCCGGCTCCCTCAGCCTGAAAGTGAGATGAGTGCTGCAACCCCATAGTCGCCTTTGACTGGACTTCACCGTCCAGGGGTCCTGTACCTTTACCTTTCATGGCTTCAGAGGGAGGGGCATTCCTGAGGAGCCAGTCTTATCAACTGCTGGTGGAAGCACAAATGCTGGAGGAGGAGAGTCGTTGCTTTGTTCTCTGATGCACACACATATATATGCACCAAGACTGGCCTGGCTGAGTTGTCATTACTACAGCCTGTGAGGACAGTAACAGTTAACTCAAATTCCTGGTATGGAAGTGTCTGGACTTGCTTTAAAAAGAGTAAGAGCAATCCCCCAAATTCCCAATTATGTCTATGACTGAACCACATCCACATCCAAGCTTGGAGCTTGGAGAGGCTCCAGATGGGTACAAATATGGAATAATGAGACTCGTCTTAACCAAGAGAAAAGACTGTCACTGCATCCCAACCTACTACTGCCATCACTATGCCAGAGACATAGTTAAAGGGCCTCCCTCCACACACAGTCTTTCTCCACACCTATGCATTTATTTGACCACTCAAATAGTTCTTCACGCATCTGAATTCAGTGGAGGACAGTGCATCATGCAAGCTACTGCATGCTTTAAAAAGAGGCAATTGTTGGTTTTTGGGTAAATAACAGATGTGAAAGAATGAGGCCAAAGCTGAATGGAGGTGGATAACATTTTCCATTATATCTGAGATTATATGTAAAACTACATGAACGAAACCTAATTTAGGCATTATGTTCTATCCAAACTGTTAGATGACGTCTTAACTACGGACCAGAGGATCCTCAGATTGATTCTGCAGAATCACATTTTGAAAGTGAAAATTGGCCTGAATGACCTCTACAATGGACAGTTCTTGGAGACACTGGGAGGAAAGAAGCTCAGAGTATTTGTGTATCGTACAGTAAGTGAATTTTAAAACTCGGGAAACATTTATGACAGCAAAAGATTGCAACGTGTTGGAACTGCTGTAAAAGGGATATGGTTCTCCAACGTAATCTTGAAAATCTACACTATTATGTTACTTCACTGTGCCTTATTAAAAACATTTTTAAAATTTCAGTAATTCTTGGACCCCAAAGTTAAATCTGGAATCCTTGCTAAACCATCTCCAACAATTCTATAGTTAAATATGTGTCTGTGCTAGGAACCTGGCAGGTACCGGTTTTGAAAGGTATTCTTTACACAGTACAGTCGTACCTTGGAAGTCAAACGGAATCTGTTCCTGAAGTCCATTCAACTTCCAAAACATTCGAAAAACAAAGTGCGGCTTCTGATATGCTGCAGGAAGCTCCTGCAGCCAATTGGCAGTTGTGGAAGCCCTGTTGGACATTCAGCTTCCAAAAATAGTTTGAAAACCGGAACACTCACTTCTGGGTTTCGATCGTTTGGCAGCCAATTTGTTCAGGAGCCAAGGCATTCAAGATCTATACGACTGTATCATTTTCAATATTTACAGTTGGAGAGATCCAATGCCCTTTGAGAATAAGAGTAAATTATGTTGCCCCGTTTTAACAGAAATTGGATTTTACCATGGAAATCCAGTATCCAAAGTTGCCCAGTGATTTTCCCTGCTCTGCTTGTGTTCTTAGTATTCCTTTGATTTAAAGTGGGACAGGAGCAAGCTCTAAGGAGCCAGGATCCGAAATGTTTTTCTTCTGTATCTGGAGGTAAATCTTATAAGGAATGAGTCCATTGTTTCATCTCCCCAGTGTTTCTGGTTAGCAATCTTGTCCATGAGCTTTTGGCAGTGTGTGGCCTTTGGGAAAGAAGGATTGTATACGGTTTTACAGAGAGGTGTAGTGAATTATTCACAGTTGTACTGTTTAATGATGTCTAGCTGCGAGATTGACAGCAGCTGGGAAAGTGCATGATTTAAAGCAAGAATCTTGGGAACCAATACCCACTTTTAACCCCAAAATGCATTTGGGGACCCATTTCTTAGTCTTTTTCCATATATTTGCATTTGGGGACCCATTTCTTAGTTTTTTACCATATATTTGCATAGTGGTAGTGCTATGTGTGAGAGCCAGTGTGGTGTAGTGGTTAAGAGTGGTAGTCTCGTAATCTGGTGAACTGGGTTCGCGTCTCCGCTCCTCCACATGCAGCTGCTGGGTGACCTTGGGCTAGTCACACTTCTCTGAAGTCTCTCAGCCCCACTCACCTCACAGAGTGTTTGTTGTGGGGGAGGAAGGGAAAGGAGATTGTTAGCTGCTTTGAGACTCCTTCGGGTAGTGATAAAGTGGGATATCAAATCCAGACTCTTCTTCTTCTTCTCCTGTTGTGACCCACCTTGTGCTAGTGGGTCCCAATCCACCAGTTGAAGACCAGTGATTTAACAAATTAGAAGAATAAGATTGGAAGGCAGTTCCATGTGTTGAGTACATCAATGGAAAAAAATTGATTTCAGAGAGCAAGGATTGATGCCAGCAATCAAATTGACTTGTTGGAAAGGTGACTAGTGAGCCCGATGCTCCTGAGAATCCGAGAACTGAGGCTTTAAACTTGGAAATGGGTTGCCATTAGGGATGGGAAGAAACTTGATTCACCTCACATTTATAGGCAAATCTATCTAACTAGCTGTTTCCCAAACAATACATGAGGCAAAGTAGAGTAATCCTTAAAAATTCACACTTTTATGAATTTTGCAGTACAGTTCTCCAGCTGAGTAATGTCAAAAACACGTATGCTAGGCTAACGTTGTATATACAAAAGTATGCATTAAGAGAATTGCTTTGCATAAAAAATGTGTATATTTGGGGAAATTGCATACAATAATGTGTATGTTAGGAGTTCTTGACACTGAAATTCTGGTGTACAGTGGTACCTCAGGTTACAAACACTTCAGGTTACAGACTCTGCTAATCCGGAAGTAGTACCGCGGGTTAAGAACTTTGCTTCAGGATGAGAACAGAAATTGCACGGTGGTGGCGTGGCGGCAGAGGGAGGCCCCATTAGCTAACCTGTTTCAGGTTAAGAACAGTTTCAGGTTAAGAACGGACCTCCAGAACGAATTAAGTACGTAACCAGAGGTACCACTGTATTTTCATGTGGATTAAAAATAATAATAATCACAGACTGATGAGGAAATCAGTAAGAACTGAATTTAAGATTGGAAAAAGGAGAACTTGCAAAATTTGCCAATCTCTAGTGGCCTAGCCTGAACCATGAGAGCTGTTCCTTTGCTAGTTGTACTTTAAAGAACGGTACTGAAAGAGAAATCTTTCCAGATTCAGTTTCTCCCATCGATCCAAGTGTTTGATGGGAAAGGCTATCTGGGGAGAACGTGTGCCTTAAAAGGGAAGGAGACCTTTCAGAATATTGCAACCCTGGGAACAATCTGAGCCAGAGTGCAAAATTTGGGTTCTGAGAATGTTTGAAGACCATTTAGACACTTTTAAAACTGTTTCCTGTTCCTGCCTTGGATTTCTTCATGTCCATCCAGCTTAGCTTGTAAACACATTCGGGGAGAACGGTATATTTCAAATACAAACAAACGGCTGGCTTTAAGTAAAAAATAAATCAAAACATTTCTGTGGTTTCTCCATAGCCACAGTAGGAAAATGTTCCTTCACATTCCCTCCCCTTGTTCCCTTGAAAAGTCGCACAACAGCTCAAAGTTTTGTGGACCAAAGCAAACTTCTTGGTGCCATGCAAACATGATCAGTAAGAGATTCTCTCTTCACTCCATCCATCTAGAAAAAAGCTGTCCCATTCGTTGCTATACTGCACATTTTGTATAGCCAACAGGGAACATTGGTTCCTGAAAAGAGCAGAAATTAAACACCTGCAAGAGAACTGGGTGAACTACATTTTATATAGCACAAAAGTTTGGAGAAGTTGCATACTCCAGAGCTTGTTTAATATGTTTCCCCACAAGGCTGATTTTTGTGATACTTCTGTTTATTTTTTCATTACTAGGCTGTATGTGTTGAGAATTCATGCATGGTTCGAGGAAGCAAAGAGGGAAGAAATGGATTTATCCACATTTTCAGGGAATTAATTGATCCAGCAGAGAAAACTCTACATGAAGTATTGAGATCGGATAAACGATTCAGGTACACCATGATTTTTAACTGTATCAAAACTCCCCCCCCCAGCAAACTAAACAGAAAGATGAGATCTCAGTTATACACACTGATACTGAGTGATGTTGAGAATCATTCTAAAAAAAAATTCTCACCCTCAGTTTAACTGTTGTTGCTTTAGGCTTTGAGTGAAAATTATCTAAAAGGACAATAAAATCCACAAAGTGTCGTGAATGGATGACTCTTGTCACCATTTTTAGTGAATAGCCTGCCATCTGTAATTATAGGTTTGGGGGATCATAAAATGAAACAATTATTTTAATACTTAGTAATTTAAAAAGCAAACAGTGGCTCATAAGTCCGCAATGAAATTTTCAAAGAAAAGCTGGGGCTAGATCCCAGGGAAACCTCCAAACCTTTCAGACCTCAGATAGATAGATAGATGATGATAGATAGATAGATAGATGATAGATAGATAGATGATAGATAGATAGATAGATAGATAGATAGATAGATAGATGATATAGATAGATGATAGATAGATATAGATAGAATCTTTATTTGCATCAGCTGCAAGCCATAGCAAAGGAATCAAATACAATAAAGTTCAGACCACAGTTGGAAGGGAGAATTCCAGTTCTAATGCTGTCTTGATAGGAGAAGCAGCATCTGTGCCAATTTTCCTTATGAGTAGCGCAAAGATACAGGAACTGTCTTGGTACTTGCATTTTGGAGCTCTAAATATATACTACCTCTAAATGTACTTTGGCAGATATATTGCGTATGCATGCGAATGTCAGCTATTATCATGGCCAAGTCCACGAAGCTGGAGGGAAGACTGCAATATATTTTTTAAAAAACAACAACTATAATGTTCTCCAGGAAAAAAATCTGACTAGGAGAATGAATCATTTATTGCTTTCCACATTTTCCAGCCAGAAATGTCGGAGAGTATATCAGAAAAAGAGAGTTCTATATTTTCACCGCCTTGCTGTTCGTATCTTATTGTTGGTTGCTCCTATCCCAGCATGCTTGTGGTGCTTTTTCTTTCTTTAGATTCAAGGAAAAGAGGGAAAAGATTAAAAGCAGCAGCCTTGCTGTTTATGTCTGAAACACCCTAGTAGAATTCAGTCACATACATTGCCTAAATATAGCCAATATAGCATCCTCCAGATGTTGTTGGACTACCACTACCAGAATCCCTAAAAGTTGGTCATTCTGGCAGAGCCTGATGGGAATTGGAGTCCTACAACAAACTGAGGATGCCATATTGGACTGCTGTAATGTGCTGTATGTGTGGCTGCCCTTGAAGATGGTCTGGAGCTGGAGCTAATGTGGAATGTGGCTTCTATACTGGTAATGGGGGCAGAACAAAAGGGACAATGTGTCACCACACCTGAATGTACTGCACTGACTGCCAGTGAGCTACTGGGCCCAATTCAAGGGGTTATTATTAGCATAAAGGTAAAGGACCCCTGACAGTTAAGTCCAGTCGTGAACGACTCTGGGATTGCAGCTCTCATCTCACTTTACTGGCCGAGGGAGCCGGCGTTTGTCCGCAGACAGTTTTTCCGGGTCATGTGGCCAGCATGACTAAGCCACTTCTGGCAAAACCAGAGCAGCACACGGAAACACTGTTTACCTTCCCGACAGAGTGGAACCTAGTTATCTACTTGCACTGACGTCCTTTTGAACTGCTAGGTTGGCAGGAGCTGGGACAGAGCAATGGGAGCTCACCCCGTCGCGGGGATTCGAACCGTCGACCTTCTGATCGGCAAGCCCTAGGCTCAGTGGTTTAGACCACAACGCCACCCGCATCCCTTATGATTAGCATACAGAGCTCTAAATGTTTTGGGACCCAAGCAGCAACTTACCCAGTGTCAACCATCTCAGACCCTACAATTGGGAGGTGGGACCTTGGTGGCGTTGCCGCCACCGGGAGCTGCCTAGTTGGAGTTGACCCATGACAGGACTTTCTTGTGGCAATTCCCCGTTTGTGGAATGCCATTCCTGGTGAAGTATACCTTGTTTCCTTCATTTCTGACTTCCAGGAGGAACTCAGAAATATCCCTGTTTATTCAGGCATTTGATGGCTGAAAGACACTGTTCCTGGCAACCCCTGAAATCACTAGTTGCGTGAATAGGTTAATAATAATAATAATAATAATAATAATAATAATAATAATAATAATAATTTATTATTTATACCCCGCCCATCTGGCTGGGCTTCCCCACTCTGGGCGGCTTCCAACAAAATATTAAAATACAGTAATGCATCAAACATTAAAAGGTTCCCTAACCAGTTTTAAACTGTTCTGAAAATGTTTTTGAAATATTTTAAACTTGGTTTTAGATTTTTTTTTGCAGTTTTTTAACGCTTTTAAAAGATCATGATGTGAATATGATGATGATTGATGAGTTTGCCACCCTTCACTCCTTCATAATATGAATCTGTCTTTAGGGACACTCTTCTACCTGTGAAGACGTTCACCTGAAACAACAGGACAATGTTCCTGTCTTCATGCAGAAACTGGGCAGTTGTTAATTGTTTTGTGCTCTCTTTTCTTCCTCAGCACATTCCTCAGCCTTGTGGAAGCAGCAGACTTAGAAGAGGTTCTTTCTCAGCCTGGTGACTGGACCTTGTTTGTCCCAACTAATGATGCTTTCAAAGGCTTAACTGAGCAGGAGAAACAGACCCTGATAAGTAAGTAGGTCACAAAAAGCAGATCACAGAGCCAGCGGCTTCTCTGCAGTAGTCCTTTTCAATGTTGTGAGCAGTGCCGGATTTACGTATAAGTTAAACAAGCTATAGCTTAGGGCTCCATGCCCTTGGGGGCCCAAAAAAAATTTAAAGGGAAAAAACACTGGATGTACGTTTCCAAAACATAAGATAAAAAACAACTAAAATAAAACCTACATACAGCCACAGTGTTTTATGTTGTGTAGGCTCCTATGATGTAGGTAATGGGCCCCGCCTGCTAGCTTGCTCCCTAAAATATCACTGGTTTGCTCACTAATAATTTCGTTGTCCCCGAGAGGGGGCAATGACAATAAAGATATTATTATTATTATTATTATTATTATTATTATTATTATTATTATTATTATTAATATATATAGGGTTGTATTTCACTATTAACATACTTCTTCTTAATTGTATTTCAGTTCAACAATTACTTGATAAAATACATATTATGTGCAAATGGCTTTAGAGACCTATTACGTCCACAAATTAACATATAGCATATATTCAGCAACAAAAAACCAGCGTCAATTTGTTGTTGACAAAGGACAGCTGGACATATAAAGGGCCCCATTACCTCCAGTAGTTTAGGACATCATCAAACCTAAATCCAGCCCTGGTTGTGAGAGATGCTGTGTGATTTCTCCTGGCCACTTTAGCTTCCCGAAGTCTCTAGGACTGAAAATAGGAAGACACCTCTTTATTCTACCAAGTTCTGTAGTAGCTGTAGTTGTCTATTGCAGAATAAAACAACAAAGCTCCTGTTTGGACATTTTGATACTAACCATTAAGCCTTTACAAATCTTTACTGCGTTCATAGACCAGAATTTAAGCCTTTAAAGATCCTTGACTTTTCTTGGAAAAACTTCCACTTCCTACAGACAAAGTGTATTCAATTAATTAGTGGATATTTTCTGAGAACACACGCTTCTGACAGTCACAGCAGGAGTAGACAGAATATGCATTTTTAAAAACCAGGCAGAGTACACAGCAGAGGTTTCCAATACACATGCAGTCATGCTGAATTGGAAGGGAATCAAAAAAACAATGACAGTGAGCCAGGCAGATTTACGACCTTAAGCTTGGAGATCGAGAACAGTGATGAGAAAGGGGTGGTGGTGAAAAGTTTATGAAAAGATCCATATTGAAGACTGCTTGTGAGTGATCACATGCATGGCGGGAGATGATGATGATGATAATTTATTATTTATATCCCACCCATCTGGCTGGGTTTCCCCAGCCTCTCTAGGAGGCTCCCAACAGAACATTAAAAACACAGTAAAAGAACAGGACTGCTTTCAAATGTCCTCTAAAAGTCAGATAGTTGTTGATTTCCTTGACATCTGATGGGAGAGCGTTCCACAGGGCAGGCGCCACTACCAAGGCCCTCTGCCTAGTTTGCGTATGAACATTAAATGAACTTCATCACCATACCTACTCCTGAATGATTTGTTGTTGTTTAGTCATTTAGTTGTGTCTGACTCTTCGTGACCCCATGGACCAGAGCACGCCAGGCACTCCTGTCTTCTACTGCCTCCCGCAGTTTGGTCAAACTCATGTTGGTAGCTTCGAGAACACTGCCCAACCATCTCGTCCTCTATTGTCCCCTTCTCCTTGTGCCCTTCATCTTTCCCAGCATCAGGGTCTTTTCCAGGAAGTTTTCTCTTCTCATGAGGTGGCCAAAGTATTGGAGCCTCAGCTTCACGATCTGTCCTTCCAGTGAGCACTCAGGGCTGATTTCCTTAAGAATGGATAGGTTTGATCTTCTTGCAGTCCATGGGACTCTCAAGAGTCTCCTCCAGCACCATAATTCAAAAGCATCAATTCTTCATCAATCAGCCTTCTTTATGGTCCAGCTCTCACTTCCATACATCACTACTGGGAAAACCATAGCTTTAACTATACAGACCTTCGTCAGCAAGGTGATATCTCTGCTTTTAAGATGCTGTCTAGGTTTGTCATTGCTTTTCTCCCAAGAAGCAGGCGTCTTTTAATTTCATGACTGCTGTCACCATCTGCAGTGATCATGGAACCCAAGAAAGTAAAATCTCTCACAACTCCATTTCTTCCCTTTCTGTTTGCCAGGAGGTGATGGGACCAGTGGCCATGATCTTAGTTTTTTTGATGTTGAGCTTCAGACCATATTTTGCACTCTCCTCTTTCACCCTCATTAAAACGTTCTTTAATTCCTCCTCACTTTCTGTCATCAAGGTTGTGTCATCAGTATATCTGAGGTTGTTGATATTTCTTCCGGCGATCTTAATTCCAGTTTGGGATTCATCCAGTCCAGCCTTTTGCATAATGAATTCTGCATATAAATTAAATAAGCAGGGAGACAATATACAGCCTTGTCGTACTCCTTTCCCAATTTTGAACTAATCAGTTATTCCATATCCAGTTGATACCCGTGTTGAATTTCAGGGGCCTGTGAATAAGATATACACAAACTGTTGAAATAAACAAATCAATAATACACTAAAACCCAGCCCTAGTTGATAATCTCTTGGATTATTCACAGTCTACTATGCTTTCTATGAAACTCTGAACACTACTAGAGGCAACAACCTTGTTACTGTGTATTTATTTTATTTTTACTTTTTCAAGGGTGAAAGAGCCCCTGGTCTTGTCAAAGTTTCTTGATCCCAGCTCAACTCTCTGATTTTCCTTGTGGATGTGAAAAGAAACCAGATCTTGAATTTAGGGCATTTTGTTCTGGGATAAGGATTTAGAGGTAAACAAGTTCTCTGTAGCACAAAAAATAAAATAAAAATAAACAGCTCCCCTGTAGGAAACTTTACTTGCCAGTGGAAAGGCTTGGGGAATCATTGATCCAACCGTACTTACGTCCATCACTGATTTTCTTCCACAGGGGACCAAAATGCTCTCAGGAATATTCTGCTTTATCACTTAACTCGAGGAGTTTTCATCGGAAGCGGATTTGAACCTCGTGTGACCAACATCCTCAAAACTATCCAAGGTGGCAAATTGTACTTGAAAGTGGTGAGTATGAGAGTAACCTTTCGACAAGAATTATTAACCCTGCAATTTAAGTTGAAGGACGGAGACAGTATTCCGAGAGATGTGCAAAACCTGCCAAGAAATTTCTCTGATTTTGTCAGAACTCTTTTGGCTTCGCTTGCACTCCCTAAAGCGTTTTGCCAGAAGAGGATTTTCTAACATTGCCTTACCATGTGTATTCCACTATATAAGTTACTAGACATTATAATAATATTTATTTCAACTGTTTGGAAATGTATTCTCTCTTTTTGTTGTTCACCTTTATTATTTAATCCTTAGGTGAATGACACTCTTCTGGTGAATGATTTAAAAGCAAAGGAATCTGACCTTATGGCGACCAATGGTGTGATTCATGTCATTGACAAGCTCCTGTATCCCGCAGGTGGGTTGTGGATTACTGTAATGTATTCACTCGTGTTCCTTAGACCATTCATGCACTGTTTTCCAATCAAAAGGGAAGCAGGTTTTCTGTAGCATCTGACCATTTGGTAAATTGATTCAGTCATCTGCACAAATCTCACCTGATGGTAGATGAATGAACATTATACCCGTCTCCTATCTCTGAGTGGTGCCCCAGAAAAGCTTTGCTGTCGCCTATGTTATGGTATTTTTAGCACACAAAGAGCTTTTCTATTTCCCAGGCTTTTTATTCTTAAATATTTTAGCAGTTTTCACACTATTGTACTGATATAATTCTCTGCTGCTAATTATATTTTAGTTCTTGTTTAGAGCTGGTTTTCTTTTGCTTTCGAGTTCTGTTTCATGTTGCATTTTATGTTTTTAATTTTTACTTAAAAATTACCCAGAGATGGTAATTTAGACGGTATAGAGTTGGTATATACATATCGAAAAGAAATAAATGAAGCATTTAGCTCTCTGGGACAGAAGTACTTAGGAAACGCAATATTTATGTTTATAATTACTCTGAGGAAATGTGGTGCGTTTGACAACTTGACAATCCCTTTCTCCTGTTTTCCAATTCAAGTTATTCATATATAGGGCATAGCCAAAACATTTTACTGACTTTCCATTTTGAACAAACCAGAGTATTGTTTAGGATTTTCTCTCTGTGTTAAAATTATCTTTATCTCACCATACTTTTTAAAAATCTTTTTCTTTATAAACAAAAATGTAGATGTACCTGTTGGAAATGACCAGCTCCTCACAATTCTGAAAAAATTGATTAAGTACATCCAGCTCAAGGTATGTTCTATAGATTGTGATTTGTGATACACATAGAGCCAAATCTGAATCACACTGGTGGGTTTATTTCCACTGCTTTTTGTCCATGAGGCCAGAAAATACGTTTGTCATAGAACAGCAATGTCAGTGAGATGTGGGGCAGTTAACCACCAGCAGATGCCCAAGGCAGAGACACCTCAATAACTCCTATCCCACAAAGCATATCTACTTCACCAAATGTTGATGATCATCAATTCCATGATGTTCTTTTCCTGTTGCCTACTAAGCATCAATGGACGTGGGTGGCGCTGTGGGTTAAACCACTAAGCCTAGGAATTGCTGATCAGAAGGTTGGCAATTCGAATCCCCGCTATGTGGTGAGCTCCCGTTGCTCGATCCCAGCTCCTGCCAACCTAGCAGTTCGAAAGCACATCAAAGTGCAAGTAGATAAATAGGTACCGCTCCAGCGGGAAGGTAAACGGGAAGGTAAACGGTTAGCCTTCGTTCGCCCCTGGTTTCACCTCCTCTACTCCACCTTATTGACTGCTGTTGCAAGAAAATGCACAGCGTGGTAAGAATGTCAGAACAGCCCTACTGAATCAGGCCAATGGCATCCTGAGCCAGCATCCTGCTCTCAGTGGACAACCAGATGTCTGTGGGAAGCCTTTGAGCAGGACCAGAGCACAACTGCTGCTCTCCCAACTTGTGATTCCCTGCAGCTGCTGCTGTTCAGAGGGACACTGCCCCCAGCTGTGGAGGTAGAAAACATCAGGATGCAAGCTCAGTTTTGATGACGAGTTCGGTCTACAGGCTGAGTTTTACTAGATGTTTACTAGAAGGGAGTTTTGGCAACCCTGTGTTTTTGGGAACATTTAGTTCTTGGCCAAAAATGGGATTATTTTTTTATTTTTTTAATCAGAGTCCTAGATTAACTTCCAAGGATCTCTGCTCCTCTGTGTTGCATGCTTCAGATGACATTCTCGCCATGTGAACTTGACCCCATGTGCTGCCGGTGCGATGTTCATTTCTTCCTTGTGAAATGTGAAGTATTGTTTTCCACTTCCCTTTAGGCACCACTAGATTTAACTCATCTTTCTCTCCCCTCCACAGTATGTCCGTGGCAGCACATTCAAAGAGATTCCATTGACATTTTACAGTAAGTATTTTTAAAGGTGACATAAACAGTTGCAAATGTTTGATGGGATGGAGGGATTTGAATGTCTGTTTTGGATAACTAGAACTGTCAAATAATGGTCAGGAAATTGGAGGGGCAATACTGCATGTGTGGCACAGAGTAGACACTAAAACAAATGTCCCTAAAACTCATTCATTAGCAGATGATCACCCATTTTGAAGCTTGGATTTTCCATTCAGTTCATAGTGAAGATAACTCTCCATTCATGAATGTCCATTAATGTTAACTGTCCATTCATGGATGTACATGGCTTGAAGAAGAGTTGCTGTTGTTGCTACTGTGAGATGCAAACCAGAGATTTCAGCTGACTCCTTCAGCAAAATCATTTCCTAAAAGGTGCAACTGGACTTTTAATATGGAAAAGCAAAGGCAGTCAGAATACATGGGACTTGGAAGTACTGAAATACGGCAGGATCATGCCCTGCATTTGTATCACCCAAATATATAGATATTGTGCTGGTGAAAGAAGCACAAATAATTCTGGAAAATAAAGCTTAAATTATTGCTTTCAGCCTAAAAAGGAGATACATATATAGTAAAGGTAAAGGGACCCCTGACCATTAGGTCCAGTCGCAGACGACTCTGGGGTTGCGGCACTCATCTCGCTTTACTGGCCGAGGGAGCCAGCGTACAGCTTCTGGGTCATGTGGCCAGCATGACTAAGCCGCTTCTGGCGAACCAGAGCAGCACACGGAAACACCGTTTACCTTCCCGCTGGAGCGGTACCTATTTATCTACTTCCACTTTGACGTCCTTTTGAACTGCTAGGTTGGCAGGAGCAGGGACCAAGCAACGGGAGCTCACCCCGTCGTGGGGATTCGAACTGCCAACCTTCTGATCGGCAAGGCCTAGGCTCTGTGGTTTAACCCACAGCGCCCCCGCGTCCATATATATATACATGGTATGGAGTTGTCTTTCAGTCAGAAAGGAGGTAGCTGTTAGCAAAGGGCTTCATTGGTATAGCATCACAGAATCACAGAATTTTAGAGTTGGAAGGGACCATGAGGTTCATCTAGTCCACCCCCTGAAATGCCGAAAACTTTTGCCCAATGTGGGGCTCGAACCCACGACCCAGAGATCAAGAGTCTCATGCTCTAACAACTAATCTATCACTTTTTTTAATTAAAAAAAGGACTTTGGTGGCCACAGGTTTACTGATACCACATCAGTTGTCTTGCTAATGGGAGTAGCATTGTATATGTGACAGGAACTCTCTTCACAGATTCTTCTTCACAGAGTTTGTTCACGGGGAACTTCCACAAGTACAGGAAGCTCCCTGCTTCAGAAATTCTCCCTCTAATGTGTGGAGGGTGATCAGAACAGTGGCAGGGAGAAGAAATAGCATGCTTGTCCCCCTCCCCTCCCCACATGTTTAGTTTAACTCTGAAGAAGATTCTTTTTTGTTCTCTGGAACAAAAAGCATGCACAGTCTGCATCTCTTGAGGGCATCACATTCCTGTTTTGGCGATCTCACATAAAACTCATTCAATCCCAGTAAGTTCCCCAATACCATTAAAAAGGACAGTGTAGGGTAGCTGTTTCTAAATCCACCAGTTTTTGCTTTCTTTTACTTTCAGCCACCCGAATTATTAAAGTTGTTGACCCCGGGACTAAAGTAATTGAGAGCAGCTTTGAGCCCAGCATCCGAAAAGGTAAAAGTGGTTGGTTGGAAGGAGTAATATGAATAATAGCAGATATAGCCAAATAAAACTCAGAAACTTTGAGTTTGTTGAAAGGAAAAAAAGCCCACAACGTGTTGAAATTGTGAGGTAAAAGCGAGAGATGCCACCCAAATTTAATCTATTGGAAAAAAATTAGTGCTGGGTGGGCCTTTGCCTATCCAAATCAGAAAGAGGCCAATTAAAACAGATTAATTTAGAAGAACATCCACTGCCCATTTGAAAACAATCTGTTTTGATTTTGAGGTGGAGGCAACAACCGCTTGTTGCGTGTCGAGGTCCCCAAGCCACCCCCCAAATAACTCACAACGCACACTTAATTTTTGTTTAAGGTTTTTGGCATAATTTTGGCCACAACTTTATTTAAATACAAAACCATGAGTGGTTGTTTAGGCATTGGTTAAGACTATCTGTCCCCCCGCCTGGGGACAGAACTGACTTCCGGGCACCACCGAAAGACAGTGCGGGGGAAAGCAAGTCGGGGAGAAATGGAGCTGAGTCACAGACCCTCAATTCTCATCCGCATGCTCCCCAAAGGCTTGCCGGCCCTAGTCCCATTCCAGGGATTGGACGAAAAGATGGCAAGCCCCAGGATTCCTTTAATAGAATTCCCTTTCCGCAGCAACCATGGAGGGGCAGGCCCAGCCTATCCTAACCCCTCCTCCACCAATTTATAACCAATGCCTAACCACAACCTTACAAGTTGTGACGATTTGCTACGCAGTAGGCAAAAACCAAATGGCCCAGCCAATCTGCCAGATGGACAAAATTCCTACCAGGCCCCTGCCCCAACGGCAGACGACCCCATGACAGGCTTAGCAAGGTCAATGCAACAACCCCTTACTCAAGGGCAGGTGGGCGGGTGATCCGTTGCACGCAGCAAAGAGAAAGCTCCAGGCTGTGTGCAGAGTATTTAAACATTTTTACCCCTCCCACCAAAATTGCAACATAACTTTTACCCCAGCAACCCAGTGAACCGATCACTGCCCCAGGCCATCTTTAGAGACCCTGCCTGGTAACAGAGGGGTGGCTCAGCAGACCCCACCGCAACACGTGCTCTCCATGAAGGAGCTTTGTTGTTTAGTCGTTTAGTCGTGTCCGACTCTTCGTGACCCCATGGGCCAGAGCACGCCAGGTACTCCTGTCTTCCACTGTCTCCCACAGTTTGGTCAGACTCATGTTTGTAGCTTCGAGAACACTGTCCAACCATCTCGTCCTCTGTCGTTCCCTTCTTCTTGTGCCCTCCATCTTTCCCAACAACAACCGCTACACTCCCTTTACCTGATGGTATATATTGGAGAACTTCCTGCTACTTTTGCAAGTGGATTGCGTGGGTTTTTAAAATTTGTCAGTACAAATAACAAATGATTATGACAATGGATTGGACTTCTCAAGCCACAATTCTCAACAAATCCATTTCCAATTTTTACCTTAGAAGAACACTGGGGAAAAAATGTTTTAAATGCTCTAACCTTGAATTCAATGTGTGACTTTACAGACTGGCGATGAAAAAATGAAGGGAAAACTTAATAAGATCAGGGTTACTTAGGCAACCAAGTCCATGCTCATTTTGTGTTCTAAAAGGGGAATATAGAGTGGGCTTAATAATACGTTGCCGCAAGCACAGACTGGGTCATATAGAGGTATAACTTAACCGAAAATGCATGTTCTTTATTATCGTTCTCCTTTAAGTTCTGTAATGATTGTATTTGTGGCTTGAAAGAGTAAGTCTGCTTCATCACATGGTCGCATCCATGCCATGTATTTAAAGCACTCTGATACCACTTTAACAGCCATGGCTTTTCTCCAAGAGTGCTGGAAACTGTAGCTAGTTATGGGGGCTGAGAACTGTTAGGAGACCCCTCAAAGATCTATGATTGTTACAAACCTTAAATGCAGATCCCAGGATTCTAGAAGGAAGCCAAGAGCAGTGACTCACATTGAGTTATGCCAAAGGCAATGACTAACGTTCAGTAATGCCAGGCTTATAGGTTAGAAAAGCAGCTCCCCGAGTGGAGATTAAATAAGCAGAGAAAATAGTGAGTGCTAATCACGCCCTCTATGCAGCCAACTTGTCATTGGCTGCCAGACTCGTCATCCTACCGCTGGCTTCGCCCCAGGGTATGATTTGTGTTGGGCAGGCTTCTCAACGTTGCTCACAATCCCACCTCTGATGACTCAAGAACAGTCCTCTTTAGAAGCCAATTCCAGCTTTTCTCTATATGCCAACAATTGCAACATTGGCAGCCACAAAAGAACACAGAAGCATTCTTCACAGGGCCTCCCAAATGTGTGGAGAGACCAGAAGATACTTGGGTCGGGAAATGTTTCAGGAAGCCATATTCCAATCATTCATTCAAAAGGAAAGGGCTTGTCCACACCGGTGCCGAAATGTGTACGTGCTGCTGTTCGCCTCCCCATTTAATTTGTGTTGTGTGCATGATGTTCTCCTCATCCAACTGGCAACCTGAAGAGGGAAAGTAAATCCAATACGAAATGCTACATGGCTGTGAACACACTGTGTGTGCAGGTTCTGGTGATGTTTCTGGTGTGCCATGTTTTCCCTCAACTTTACTTCTGTTTTGTTTCTGACAGCCGAAAGGAAAGGCTGCGGTTATAACGGGACAACACTGGTTGTTCTGCTCTGGCTCTGTATTTCAACATGTATTTTAGACACAATGCATGGAAACACAGAAGAGATTTTACAACTAGCATGAATAAGCAAATAAGCCAGTGGTGGATACAACTCAAGCATAGTTAGGCACTTTTAAGCACCATTGACTTCACTGGAAAAGTTGAGCATGTGTTTATCTCAACAGGTCCTGCTACTTAAATGGGATTAGATTATGCCCTTAGCTTTTTATCGGAGCTGGTCATATGTTTTCTTACGTTTTGATTACGAAGCCTAGTACAACGTAAAAGCGTTTTAAAAACTGCAGCCATCTGATTCTCTTGAAATATTTCTTATCATTATCACAGAAATAAAAGTAGTTGGCGGCACCACAGTTCGGAAAGAGATTGAAGGTAATGTATCATGAAAGAGGATAACTGATAGACTTTCCATAATATCCAGCTATGAAGCAAAGCATCAAGCCTTCCCCCCCCCCCAAAAAAAATATATTTTTAGGGCAGAAAAATCACACAGCCAGGGAGCCAAGGACCAAGTAAAGTTTCCAGATTCTGTACTTCATTTGACCTCGAAGAGGGAAATGCTTCCTTCCCTACTTCCTTTTAATGTATGGCTGCTGCCACTTTTAATGTAATACTTCTGGGATGGCTCAGTCAAGAAAGCACAAGACTCTAGCTCTGTGGTTCAAGCTCCACAGTGGGCAAAAGATTCCTGAAGTGCAGAGGGTTGGACTAGAAGACCTTTGTGGTCCCTTCCAGCTGTACGCTCTATGATTCTATGACATCATCAAGTGGCCAATGTGCTTCTGTTGAGTTTGCAGCCAAAATATTATAGCCGCAAAACAGCAGAGGCACAAAAGCAGCAGATGGGAATCAGAAATGCCAAAACCTTGAACCTGCCTGCACAGCTATTGCGAACAGATATCTCCCATGTTCCACATATTCCTATTTTTGCAGGCCTACTTAATCCATGACACATTGGATTACACAGTTGCATTTAATGTATATCAATTCACACCAGGATCAAACACTCTACATATTTCGGGATGCCGGTGGCGCTGTGGTCTAAACCACTGAGCCTCTTGGGCTTGCCGATCAGAAGGTCGGCAGTTTGAATCCATTGCTCTGTCCCAGCTCCTGCCAACCTAGCAGTTTGAAAGCACGCCAGTGCAAGTAGATAAATAGGTACTGCTGTGGTGGGAAGGTAAACGGCGTTTCTGTGCGCTCTGGCTTCTGTCACGGTGTCCCGTTGTGCCAGAAGCAGTTTAGTCATGATGACCACATGACCCGGAAAGCTGTCTGTGGACAAACGCCGGCTCCCGCGGCCTGAAAGCGAGATGAGCGCTGCAACCCCATAGTCGCCTTTGACTGGACTTAACTGTCCAGGGGTCCTTTACCTTTTTTACCTTTGCATATTCATGCTCTGGAATCCCAACCCAGTCTACAACAGTGGCCTCATATGTACCAGTCATGGCTTCCCCTAAAGAAATCTAGACCGTTAAAGGTGTAGGCTGTTAACTGTAGAAACTGTTGAGGGTATTGAAAGTTATTAGGAGACTTCTCACAGAGTTCCCTGGAAAGAGGGAAACTGTAACTCTGTGAGCAGAACAGGAGTCTCCCAACAACCCTCAGCACCCTTAACAAACTAGAGTTCCCAGTATTCTTTGGGGGGAGCCATGACTGTGAAAGTGATATAAGCAGTGTTTTTTCCCCTTAAAAATGTTTAGGGGTACTCTCATTTTCCTACTCATATTGAAATACTGCCCCTCATTGAGGCCAAACTTAAATTCCCAAAATGTTTAGGGGTATGCGTACCCCTGCATCCCCCCCCCAAAAAAGCACTAGATATAAGAGTCCATTCAAGATATGGTGCATCACTCTGAAGAATTATATCCTAGTCCCAATAGCTTTAGGATTGGCTCTGACACAAATGAGTAGGAGTTAATTTTGTCCGAGGCATTTTCATTAAGCATTGTTCGCTTTGTACGTCATATTTATAATGCACCTTCCCATTTTGAAATAATGCTTTTCAGGGCCCACTATTACAAGGCTCACCAAAGTGATTGAAGGGGACCCAGAATTTAAGCTGGTCAGGGAAGGCGAGACAGTCACTAAAGTTATTCATGGAGGTGAATATGTCTCATGGACTGCACATTACTAACCAGAATGGTTTGGAAGAGGCAGTTCCCAGTTCTCTTAAACTGCTGGATTTGTTCTTAGCATGTGTTATAACGATGTATTGCAACTACACGGTTTTATTATTAAACCCTCTCTTTCCCTTCTTCTTGGAATGTTTTCTCTCTTTTTTTCATTTTGTGCACTGAATTTTTGCTTTCTCTATTTTTTCACACCTGCCCTCTGAATTGTACCCATGAGATGGAATGTGGAAAAACTCTTTTGATTCCTTCGTATTCTAACATAAGTAGCATGTTTCTAAGAGTCATGACTGAGCCTCAAGAAACTTGATGTTTTGTCATCCTAGCTGTGAACAAAAAAATGAAAACTACCTACCAGTCTACCCAAAGGCTCAACTAAATATTTATTTATTTTTAAAAAATACATTATGTTCATAGCTTGAGATGGTGAATATTTGACACGGGCATGCTTGGGAATGTAAATGACTTTCTTTGCACTCTTCTGCAAGGCCCTGAGTGAGAACTTTGAATCTAACCATTTCTAACATTGACCCTCTTGCCCCAATGGCTGCATAATGGAGACAATGGGGAAACATCGAAATAATCCAGTGACTTGACCGTTTCTAACTTTTTAAAACATCTTTATAGAGCCTAAAATTAAAAAATACACGAAAATAATTGATGGTTACCCTGTGGAAGTGACTGAAAAAGAAGTGACCGAAGAAAGAATCATTCAAGGTAAAAAAAAAAAACATGCGTCAAAAATACGCCCAGTTTTGAAAGCAAAAGCTTTATAACGAAAAGAATATGCACAGTTTTAAAGGTTTCCTGATGGAGTCCACTTCTGATTCTGGGCCATTTGAGATGGTTACCAGAAGCAGAACAAAGCTTTTCACAGAATGGCCATATAATCTCAGTTCTTGAGAAAATACTTTAGGAGGAGAAAGAAACAGCCCTCAATCAAGGAATTCCATTCCCACCTTAACGTTCATTGCCATCTTCCATCATTGCCATCTCATGTTCCTCTTATTTGTTATCTGTTTGCTGCATATCTGTTTGTTTGTTTGTTTGTTTGTATAAAAAAAATTATATACCACTTGGTTGTAATAAAACCTTAAAGTAGCTTATTTAAAAAAAATAAATACGTTTTTTAAAAAAAAGATAGTTGAAAACTGATATTGAAAAACATTCAAAAACTAATTAAAAATAACAATAAACTAAAAACAGATGCAAGCACATCCAAATCAGATGTCAGGAGTGGCTTGCCTAAACAAAAATATTTAAAGTAGGTATTAAAGTAAATATTTAAAGAGTGTTCAGTGACAGTGCTTGGCTAATATCAACCTTCAAGGAGTTCCAAAGTGTAGGCAGCGCTTCACTAAAAAGCTTGATTTCATACTATTTGCAGAACAACTGTTACATAGCACCTCTAACAGTGCCATTTCTGCAGACCGAAGAGGTCCAATGAGCATATATAGGGTAACGCTATCCTGCAAGTAAATTGGCCCCAAGCTGTTAAGGACTTTATATATGAATACAGACCAGTGCTTTTTTTCTAGGCAAAAAGTCCTGGCGCTCACCAACAAGCAGGGGGAGTGTCCAGCATGTGGGGGGCGTGGCCTAATGCCAAGGCTGGGTGGCGAGGGTGGATTAGCTGCTTGATGCTCCCTCGCCCACCTACCCAACTACCAGGGCACTGCCGCCCCAGGGAAGAGGCCTCCCATGCCCTGCTTTGGGAAGGAGGCAGGAGGACTCCAGGACTTTCAGAGCATCGCGCTTCCTTCCCTAAGCTGGGCAAACACTTCCCGGGTTGGGGGAAGGAGGTGCGATGCTCTGACAGGATCCGAGAGCCCCCTTGCCTCCTTCTCTCTCAAAACATCTCTGCACTGCGTACCATTGTGTACCATCAGAAAGAAAGCACTGATAGTAACACTTTGAACTTGGCATGGTAGTAATCAACAAATCAGTGCAGTTCTCTGAGCAGAGATATACTATGCTGACAGGACCTTACCCCTGGCGGCAGCCACCTTATCCAGTGCCAGATTTACGTATAATTGTAATTTATTATTTGTACGCGCCCATTATAAGCTAAACAAGCTATAGCTTAGGGCCCCACTCTCTTGCCCCCCCCAAAAAAAATTAAAGGGGAAAAAACTGGGTGTACATTTCCAAAATATAAGAGAAGTTCAACCATTACTTTGATAAAATACGTATTTTGTTATGTGCAAATGGCTTTAGATACCTATTAGGTCCACAAATTACCATATAGCATATATTCAACACAAAAAAACAGCGACAATTTATTGTTGGCAAAGGACAGCTGGACATATAAAGGGCCCCATTACCTTCAGTAGCTTAGGGCCTCATCAAACCTAAATCCGGCCCTGGCCTCATCCATCCTACCATTGCATCCAGGCATCAGTTCAGGGCCTGCACAGCCTCTCCTGATCCAAATGTTATTGAAAAATAGAGCTGAGTCTCTTCAGCATAGTGACAGCACCTTGCCCCCAAGCGCATGGCACTCTCAAACCACACCACCAAATTCAGGAAAGCTGTGTGAAAAATCAGCCTCTGAGAAGAATGTGGTTGTGTGTATTGGTCAGATAATTGTAGCACTTCTTGCAGCGAATTTCCCTGCACTTTCAAAAGCCACCCTGCTCTCTTTGTTGTCAGCTATGTGTCTGTCAAACCGTCCACCAAACATGCCACCCTCCTGTAAGTTACGCTCAACGCACCTAAGCTTCTACTGAGACCTTATTCCACCATGTCTTTTTTTATTGCTCTCTGAGATCATTACTTTGAACAGGAAGATATGGTTACCTACAGCACAACAACGAAAATTTGGGAGGGTTCCCCCCCCCCACCTCGCATGTACCTAACTGGATCTTTTTCACTTCAGGTCCTGAACTGAAATACACTCGAATCACTACAGGAGGTGGGGCAGATACTGAGGAGACTCTTAAGAAATTGCTGGAAGAAGGTTAGTATTCTTTGTCAAAGGGGAAGTATGGACTGTGATCTGGCACGCTCAAGGGCTTATTTTCTAAGGATAATAATGCTGATTTTAGCAGCTCCGTAACATGAACAGCGATTATACAAGGCAGAGTCTGGAAATGACTAGATCTGAACATTTGATCATGGGAATGATATGCACAAAATTAACAGGATTTCAAATGTCTAAAGAAATGAATTTTGTGAATGTCTGAAAACTCAGATACACATCCATTTAATGTTGGCAGTCACCTAAACAAGATTTTCAGCATTCATTTGCAAATTTCTGAAGCATTTAGAAATTAGCAAAATCCATCTGGAATTGGCAGTATACAAAATTGACTTTCTAGTCTACTATCTGGTTTCAATGGAAGGCATATCTTAGCTGTAATCTGTCTTGAATTCAATATGTACTACATTGATATTTTAATTCTTGTTCAAGTGAAACAGCCAATATGCTGCATATTATAGACCAAGGAACACACTGCAACCATTTATTTCTTTTAAAGAAAACAACCAGATGTTTGGCGTGAGGCTTTTCACTGCAATAGATAATTGTGTAATTATAAAGTGAGCTCGTTAAATGTGCTGCAACTACCAATTTCTCAATGTTCCACATCATGCCATAAACATGTATTCTGTCAGAGGTGACCAAGGTGACCAAATTCATTGAAGGTGACGGTCATTTACTTGAAGATGAAGAAATCAAAAGACTCCTCAAGGGAGGTTAGTGAGTGTGAGACAACTAACCTCATCGTAATGAGTGCCAAGAGCTGACAAACTGATCTTTTAAACTTTTTCAAGACTGATTCAATTAAGCCAAATTTATGGAAGAAAAACCAAACCCAATGCATGAAATGATGAACTTTGAGCAATCCGTTTACCTCCACGCATGTTGGAGTACAATAAAGCTTTATTTGTGCGAATCTGTCCAGTCTTTAAAAAGTTCCAAATGAGCAATGAAGATTTATTTGCATTATAAATATTCTGTGATCACTTTTGAATTTTAAGATATTCTTCCAAAAGTAAGTGCAACAGGTGAGAAAAGTCCAAATCTTTTTGCATTGCTCATTTAAAAATGAATATTCATTGCTCACTATTTAACTGTCAAAGGCATGTACGGCTTCCTTCTTTTGAAATGACTTTTGGTTCTGTGCATTAAAGCTTTGTAATTATCTTCAAGAGTACAGTGCACTCATCTTTGTACTGATGAGCATGTTGATGCAAACTCATTTCAGTTAATAATAAAAAGGTGCACAATTCGCAGTCTGAACACCTATTGCAATAATGTGCAGTGCTATCTTGACCTGGCGCCACTGGCCAACTTAATGCTAGCCAACAGAGCAGTTCTCAGTGCAACTGTGGAAGTAGCAGGTACTATTACCAGATATGGCGTACAAATGTCATGCAAAATGGCTATATGGTTGGTTCAAATGAGGAATGACTGCAGTAGAATTGGGCAGTGATTCCTAGAAGTAGCATCCTTAAAAACATGTGTACTACGCTACAGAGGCAACCAATTTGGTGCTGTGACAATCCCATGTGTCTGAGAGATATAAGTAACACCTTTCAATGGATGATCAACTCACAGCATGCTGTTTTGTGCCCAATCCTTGGCGTGCCCATTTGTAGGAAGAGGATTTCGCCACCATATGGTTGCCAGCCAGCCAATAGCGTCTGAGCATAATGAACTGCCATACAGTATTAGTCGGGTGCACTGTATTGCCAGAAATGACGTTCTGATCCTCTCTATTCTCCTTAATAATCTACTGATCACCAAGAAATAACCAGCAGAAACTGACGGGCAATTTTTAAAAAATCGAATGCTTATGTTATTAATCTGTATGCCTCAATTGAATGGTTTTGCTTGTTGTGGGATATTTAAGAAGTGAAGGGAAAAAAGAATTCAAGTATCTGGACAAAGTTAACAGTAACCCTGACCGCTAAATCCAGACCATATATTTTTATTCCTGCTCAAAGTGAGACCACATCAGCTTCTGCTATGATTATCTCACAGAATTACAGTCCAGCTGGCTCTACATTGGATTACAGTTTGAAATTCTAGCTTTAGTTTAATAAAACTATAAGAACAGGTGATAACATATTTATTTTATCTAAGGGACCTAACTGTAGAGAAAATAAATACTGAAAAGCATCCATTTTTATGGCATTCCACAAACCAAAAGGTGACTCCAATAGTGGTTTCACAATTGTGCATTTGAGAAGAGTAGCATCTGGAAGACTGGAATCTCCCTTAAAAAAAAAAAAATTCTAAAGGATAAGTAGCTGTAGGTTGCAGGATGTGGATCTAACAGCAGGCAGGCAATTGAAGGCAGTAGCCTTCAAACTGTAACGTAAGAATTGCCTAATCCAGTTTTCATGGAGTTGATATGGCCTATTCAAACTTATGCTGTACTTTTTTTAAAAAAAAACAACAACAGTGCAATCCATTGTTTCTAATCTCAATTCTTTGCCATTTCCCCCCCAAATATTCCAAGTGATAAATCATGAGTACAATTATCTCAGTGGGAGAGTGCAGGTGATGGATGCTGAAGATCTCAGACACCTTCCGCAGAATCTCAATTTAAAATCATCTCCAGTAACAGGGCTGAGAAATGGTCCCTGCCTGGGACCTGGGAAGCTTCTGATAGTCAGAATATGGTCCTGGGTCGGATGGTCAAGTAGTGAGCCACAGACCACACGAAAGTAGCTAGAATCTCTGCCATAAAACCATAAAGTGATCCACTGAATTCTTCTTTCCCATTCTTCTTGCAATTGTGAAGTGGCTACTGGAAACAGAATCCTTGACTCGTTTATTTGTCTTTGTCTTTGTCTTTATTTTTATTTTTTATTTTTCTTACTTTGCTTCATTTATTCCAGCCCTTCTTTTCCTTTGACTGCCATGAGAGACCCATATAATTGTTTGAGACTTGCCTAGACCCCCACCCACCCCACCCCCCATACACAGATATAAACAAACACATGATTTGCACGCTGCGATCATGATGGCGATGGCTCCACAGACATTCTGGAGCTGTCTTTCCCCAGTTGGTACTGGAACAAAAATTATTCCATTGCCTACGGTAACACAACAAGCCCTTTGCAAGTTGTGAACCGCACTGTTAAGATTATTGCAATGTAAACTAACAACAGTGCATGCTCGTTGAGGCAATTCTTGGCTACCAGCCACAGAACAGAGGATTTGTCACTTCTAAGAAAATATTTCGGAATTTGCTCATGTTCTACCCATCCACAGCCTCTTCAGATGTAACATTTCAAATATGGACCACTTTCCTGTTTTTAAAAAACCTACCCACTCTTAACTGGCAATTGTTTTTAATGCCTGTTGTAGCTGGATCTGAGTACACCAAAGTTACTAAAGTAATTGAGGCAGAGCCACAGATTATCGAGACAGAAATAAAGAAAATTCATCTGGAAGGTTAGTTATGCAGTAATATGGAACCACCCTTTTATCCAAACAATTGTTGTGAGTGAATTACTTGAATGGAAATCAGGACCAGACCTAGAGAATACAGAATTGTTTATTTCCACCCTATACTTTCTAACGCAGTTGCTTACGTAGGCTATTGGCATGAAATGACTTTGTTTTGTTCACCAGTTTAAAGTTGCAGTGTTCTGTATATTTACAACTTACTTGAATAATTTATTAGTCATTAACAAACAAACAAAAATCTGTTTCAATGATTCTAACCTCCATAAAGGGATGTTAAGCATTTCTCATAGTTCCTTTCCTTTTAATCTTCCAACAAGACTACAACATACCTGTCATCTACTTTACTATGTATATTAAGTTGTGCTCGCTGATGTCAAGGATTTGTTCAAGACATATTGCATGATTAAGCAGAATATTAATTGCTAAAAAATTTTTTTGAACCAGGTCTTATTTGAAATTTATGCAGAATGCCTGTTCAAAAATATGCAGGTGTTTCACAAGCCTAAGCCAACTAGAAACATTGGAGCTGGTACCCAGAAAGGATGTGGGGGGAATGTGGGAACTTTCACAGTACTGTGAAGGGGGGGGGAGGCTCAGCATTACGGGTGGGCAGTTGGTATTTTTGACAGCATCACCATTGATAAATTTTTATTTCTAATATCAGCCTGTTAAACTGTAGCATTCTGCCCCTACGATACTTGGAAGCTACAGTGTGAAACTGCATGTACTCATCCTCTTGCCTGCAGTAACTTAAAAGCACTGGCTTCCACTTCATTGTATCTTATTTTCTTCTTCCAAATTATGGTCTCTTCCATTCGGAGTGATTTACAGGTATTTAACATTGTTTGCCTCATAGCTCCGTATCTCAGCTTTCTAGGACTGTGGATAGAGAACCCAAAGCTCTGGTCAACTAGTGCCATGTACTATAGTGTGTGTGTGTGTGTGTGTGTGTGTGTGTATTTCTGAAGCAGCAGCCCCTCGTGCCAGGAGGCAGAGATAATTTTGTTTTCAATTTTTTGAAAATTGAAAAATCCACCTGGACATGTTGGAGTGCTTCACCATGCTTAAAGTACCATAGTTTTTTTGGATCTCAGTCTGTATCTATACTTGCACACAGTGGCCTACATCTCACTGAGGTGGTAAGTCTATGTCCAGTCGCGACTGACTCTGGGGTTGCGGTGCTCATCTCGCTTTATTGGCCAAGGGAGTCATGTGGCCAGCATGACTAAGCCACTTCTGGCGAATCAGAGCAGCACACGGAAACGCCGTTTACCTTCCCGCCAGAGCAGAACCTATTTATCTACTTGCACTTTGACATGCTTTTGAACTGCTAGGTTGGCAGGAGCAGGGACCGAGCAATGGGAGCTCACCCCATTGCGGGGATTCAAACTGCCGACCTTCTGATCGCCAAGTCCTAGGCTCTGTGGTTTAACTCACAGCACCACCCGCGTCCCTATGTTTGGGTGGTACTACGTTTGAATTAAAGGAGAGGCTCAAAATCACTGAGTGTTCCTTGGCGGAGGGAGGGCAACCCTATACCTAGAAATGTTGCTTATCAGGGACAAAACTAGGCTAGAGCTCTTCTGCCTGACATGCTGTTTTTTTTCTGTGTGCAGATGATAACATGTTTTGGAGAGTACTCTGATCACTGAATCATATCTGCCATCAGAACAGCAAGTGATCTATAGAGCATGTGAAATATATTGTATAGTAAAAAGCTTTTATTATTCATCCAGTGTCTTAAACTGAAAAAGAATTCGTCAGCTTTAAATTTTTGACATTTCGGAAGATACCTACTGCGCTGTTTCAAACCTCTACAATAAATAATGCAAGACTGCAACACTGTTTTCTGTTTCTTCTTTTTAGAAGCACCTGTTAGAAAAGTACAAACATCCAGAAGAACACAAGGTATGAGGAGGAACATAACACTGTCGTATTTATTTCTTAATTATTTAGGCATTTATATTATGTGCAATCAAGTGTGTCTTTGGGGTAGTTTGCGATAGTTTGTTTTTGTTTTTGTATTATTGTGTATTTTGTGTTCTCCTTTTGTATTTTTCTGTTGTGAACCCCCTTGGGATCTTCAGATGAAGGGCTGTATGCAAATTTTAAAAATAGCAGCAGCAGCAGCAACAACAACAACAACAATAACAACATATAGGAAGGGGGCATTTTGTTGTTGTTGTTGTATAGTCGTTTAGTCGTGTCCGACTCTTCATGACCCCATGGACCAGAGCATGCCAGGCATTCCTGTCTTCCACTGCCTCCCGCAGTTTGGTCAAATTCATGCTGGCAGCTTCGAGAACACTGTCCAACCATCTCGTCCTCTGTCGTCCCCTTCTCCTTGTGCCCTCCATCTTTCCCAACATCAGGGTCTTTTCCAGGGAGTCTTCTCTTCTCGTGAGGTGGCCAAAGTCTTGGAGCCTCAGCTTCAGGATCTGTCCTTCCAGTGAGCACTCAGGGCTGATTTCCTTCAGAATGGAGAGGTTTGATCTTCTTGCAGTCCATGGGACTCTCAAGAGTCTCCTCCAGCACCATAATTCAAAAGCATCAATTCTTCAGCGATCAGCCTTCTTTATGGTCCAGCTCTCACTTCCATACATCACTACTGGGAAAACCATAGCTTTTACTATACTGACCTTTGTTGGCAAGGTGATGTCTCTGTTTTTTAAGATGCTGTCTAGGTTAGTCATTGCTTTTTTCCCAAGAAGCAGGCGTCTTTTAATTTTGTGGCTGCTGTCACCATCTGCAGTGATCATGGAGCCCAAGAAAGTAAAATCTCTCACTGCCTCCATTTCTTCCCCTTCTATTTGCCAGGAGGTGATGGGACCAGTGGAAGGGGGCATTAGTTTACCTTAATAACATCCGTTCTCTTTTTTGGTCCACAGGCTCACCACGGAGAAGAACAAGGCTCGTCAGACCTGCAAAAAAGCAGACTGTACAGAAAGAGAACTGAAGAAAAGCAACAACAAAAAGTCATAAGGGAAAACATTAACCAAATCACTTGTTCCCGTTAACAATTGGGCATAGCATCCTCTACCCCATAAAAGCAGATGGGATTGCATATGGGAGGAAAGCACTTCCTAAAAGATGCATTAGCTGGTACGATCCTAAAGAGCAGGGATCAACTCAAAATGTACCCCTTTTCTATGAATCCGAACTCTATAATTTAAATGCATTCCACCTGCAAGTAAATAAGCTTTAAAGTGAGAAAATCCAAGAGTGTAAGCTATGTAAATGTATCACCTTTAGATCAGCAAAACCATGTGATTTATGTTATTAAGTACTATTATGACACAGACGTTACCTTAGAAATCATAATAAACTTTAAGCAATGACATAGGATCTTCGTTTTCATCACTACTTAAAACATTTGCTAGTGAAGCTGATAGAGTCTCTCTCCTGCACTCTCCAAAGATAACTCTCTCAAAATGCGAGCGTTCAGGAATGTTCTTGGATCGATTACTGTACTGGCTATCGAAGGTCCCCAATGAAAATAAACTTACAGTAAACACATTAGCTTCCATTCAGAGATGCTTGAATGAAGCAGTAGATACTACATACTTAAACACCAGCGCTACCGTTCACCTGTTCGAGGTGCAAAAGGTTGCGGACATTGTATGGATTTTAAACTCCCCATATTTTCAACTGTGTACATGTGGGGATGTTGAATGTGGGTTCTACCTTTTGTATATTCTTTTGTACTATCATTTTTTGTACATATAGGAACCAGCCCGAAACCAGATTGCAAAATCTGTTTATGAGTCAGGCTAATTTGATTAGAAGCAAGAGATGCTCTTTTGTTTTAAATAGTGTACTCACATACTGATGCCAAAGTATAAAATACATGCACCTTCCTTTCGTTGATAAGGGCAGACTGAATTTGAAAAAAGCACTTATTTTTGGTTCAAATGTATAGAAATGGGGGGCAGAGCCTTTCCTGACTTACAGAATTCAATGGAGCTTATTCATAAACAAGTGGGGTTAGCATTGCAGCCTCGTATGTATTTTACAGAAGAAAACAGTTGTTTATATGTATGTTCCCCACATCCCCAATGAAGCAACATTCATTTACATTTTGTACTTTCTGTAGCTGAGTACAGAATATGAAGTGGCCCTTCATTCCAGGGATGTTAACCAGATTAGCTTTTAGGCATGCTTATAGTTGACGCCACTTCCCTCTGGTTGAAACTAAACCTGAGAAGCTTTGATAGATTTGAATTCGGAAAAAGATATGCTATTGACTTCAGTGGAACTAAAACAATTTATATTTAAGAACTTTGGCTTGTCTGATTTGTGAATTTGACTCTCTTGCTGAAGTCCTCTGCTTTATGGAATGTGTATTCCTGTGGAAATAGTGAGCCCTGGTGAATTCAACAGGTCTTATTCATGAGCCATTGTACTAAGTAACCCACATGAATCTAACAATCAAAAGAAATATATCTCCACTATAGCGTATAAGTACAGGAGACAATTTTAAGGTTTGTGAAACATTAGCCTTTAAAAAGCCTGCTCTGAATTGTTGAATTCTAAAACAATCAATGGAATGCATGCAACAAATTATTCTTGTTCAGGAAGATATATATCAACTGGTACTTGGTCCAGAAGCCTTTGCATAAAGGAAGCCCTACCAATTTCCATTATTGATGTGGGCCTTGTTTGTAAATTGTCGTTTTTATAACTAGTTTATTTGCTTCTTCTCCCATACTTGTATGTCAACTATGCAAGAATCTTTGTGAAGGGAGTAACAACATTTCATCAAGGTGCCTTAATTCTGCAAAGTGTGGTTTAAAAGAATTACAGCGTGTGCCTTTATATTTTTGTTCTGAAACACATATTCATTAAATAAATTTGGCTGAATTATGGGGCTTTTTGTAGTCAATATTTGATGAGCAAGAAAACATTTGTGCTTGAAAAATTCTATGTGCCAATCATTTTTGAACAGTACTCTGTGAAACCACCGAATTCTTCAATTAGATCAATAATGACCGACAAGCTTCCTTGAAACATGGTGAGGCTCAGCAGGCCTAGATAGTGCTTTGCAAGAACTGAGTGCTCCATAAATCTCTGAAATTCTGTGGCAGGCATGAAGTGGTTCCTTGGTATGGGAAAGGCTCTCTCAGCATTTGAAAAACATCAACATATTTTTATTCCTGTTCCCATTTAATGTATTGTCCATAAAAGCATTGTAAAGCCAGGGTCCGGCAGGTTAGGGGGGAGCGAGGCTCCTGCAACCCTTTGTGCACTCCTGCCAAATGCTGACTTAAGTTTGGATGATTTTGCTAAAGCCCACCCAAAATGCCAGATACCAACATTAATTCAAAAGCAAGTCTTAAGGCATATTTGCAAGTGGCCATGACTGACCCCTCTTGCAATCAACCAATGACTGCTCTGTCCTGAAGGGGACATGATGCTGTCCTGTTGTTGTTTAGTCGTGTCCGACTCTTCGTGACCCCATGGACCAGAGCACGCCAGGCACTCCTGTCTTCCACCGCCTCCCGCAGTTTGGTCAAACTCATGTTGGTAGCTTCGAGAACACTGTCCAACCATCTCGTCCTCTGTCGTCCCCTTCTCCTTCTGCCAGCCATCTTTCCCAGCATCAGTGTCTTCTCCAGGGAGTCTTCTCTTCTCATGAGGTGGCCAAAGTACTGGAGCCTCAGCTTCACGATCTGTCCTTCCAGTGAGCACTCAGGGCTGATTTCCTTAAGAATGGATGCGTTTGATCTTCTTGCAGTCCATGGGACTCTCAAGAGTCTCCTCCAGCACCATAATTCAAAAGCATAAATTCTTCGGCAATCAGCCTTCTTTATGGTCCAGGTCTACTTCCATACATCACTACTGGGAAAACCATAGCTTTAACCATATGGACCTTTGTTGGTAAGGTGATGTCTCTGCTGACATAATGACATAACCTGGCATAATGTGTGCCGTGCTCTCTGCTCACAGTCAAAAGTCCTGGCGCTCCAACGCAGTGGTGGTTGGTGCCCAGGTACTTGGAAGAGTTGCTAGGTATTCCTGGGGGCATGGCCAATGAGTTCAAGAGGCATGGCTATTTGCTCTTGCTCTTTCCCCATCTTCCACCCTCACAAATATACGGGGGATACAAGCATTTCAGTTGCATGAGTACTTTGCACCTTTCTATTCGGAAGGTGGTGAACTCTCTTTCATTGGATATTTTAAAGCAGAGGTTGGATGGTCATCTGTCAAGGATGTTTTTGTTTAGATTTCTGTATTGCAGGGAGTTGTCCCTTCCAATTCTACAATTCTAAAGCAGAGCAGCTGCAGAAGTACTTTGGACCCAACTTCCCAACTTAACCGAATTAATTCCCACTGAATTCAACGGCAATTGCTCCCTAATAAGTATGTAAAAGATGGCAGCAAGAACTGGTTAGTCTTAAAGGTGCACTGCAGAACTGTTAACCATAGCTGTCAACTGTCCCTTATTTGGTGGGAAACTCCCTTATCCCAGTGCTGTGTCCCGCTGCTGTCCCTTATTGATGATGTCCCTTAAATTTCCTGGGTTTCAAAGGAAGCAGCTCCTCACCCTCCCTTCCTGCCGGCCACGGAGGAGGGAGGCTGAAACTGTGTTGCTTGGCTGCGTTGCTCACCCAATAAGGAGTCTAAGAACGACTGGGGGGGTGGAGCTTGCATGCCTTGTGCCGATCAAATCGGCCTCGTTGCCTGGGGACTCGCCTTTGCTCAGCGCTTCCCAGCAGAGAGGTGCCGGTGGTTTTCCTTGCTGCACCCTCTTTGCCGGTTTGCTGCGGTGTGGGAACCACCACTTGGGGCTTCGTTTGGCTGCTGGACTGGCTGGGCTTTCTGCCTTTGGCTCGGGAGCTGGTTGACTAAAATCCCTTATTTTGGCTGCTGGTCCCTTATTTTTGAGGCTGCTGGTCCCTTATTTTCAAATCTGTAAGTTGACAGCTATGCTGTTAACTAGGGGCCCCATACATTTCCAGACCTATAGGAAAAGATTGTGACCCCCCAGGATGTGAAATAAGGTGGAACAGTGCCAGTACAAAAGTATTCTGTGCCCTAGTAAACGCTGATTCTCCAACCCCCTCTTCACTCGTAATATAACACTCTGCACATTTACACATTTTCTGCTCTACACACATCCTTCAGGGAAGCTGAGCCCCCCTTCAGATTAAGGTGGAAGGAGGTCCATGCCACCTCAGAAGGCAACAGCTCTAGGTCACACCCCACACATAACACCATCACCCCCCATTTTCCTACAGCCCTTTGAAAGTGAGTGAAGGGAGGCTTAAATGGGCCACTTTACCTGGAGGGAAGGGTGTGGGTGATGGCAGGGTTTGGATCCTGTCTGCTCTTTCCATGCCCTCCCCTCTTCTTCAGTTGCTGCCTCCTCTGCTTGGCTGAAGCTGCCCAACACCATCTGAGCTTGTCTCCTCTTTTCTTGACAGTAGGGAGGCAGCGAGTCATTGGGGTGACCCCAAGAAGGGGAAGCTGGGGTGGGTGTACTGGGCAGGAGCAAAACACAGCCCAGAGGAGCGGTGATGGGGCAGCACCCCTCAAAGGTGCAAAATATTATGAGCGCCTTTCAAATTTTGCTGGCCTTCTATTTTGCCACTCTTAAAATGTTGCTGCCATAGGTAGAAGCCCCATTCACCTGGTGGTTAAACCAGCTCTGAGATGGAGTGATATTAAGTGGTCTGGGATCTAGGCCATAACAGTTAAGATCACCACTCAGCTATGGAGTTGGCCTTGAGCTAATCACTCTTTCTCTGCCTAACCTATGTCACAGGGTTGTTTTGAGGATAACATGGGGAAAAGGAGATCCATGAATACCAGCTTGAGATCCTTGGAGGAAAGGTGGAATGGATATAAACTCAGTACTGATAAATAAAGAAGAAGAATGATAAAAAGTCTGCCCTCCCTGATTTTGAATCGGGGAAGAATTTGGGATACAACCAGGAGAAAATGTACATAGATAGACTAAGTCTGCAATCCGCCAAAAGCACTGAAGGGATGTTGTGCCGTCCAAACCACACCTGATGTTGGGACTTACACTTGAGTAACCATACAAAGAGTAAGGCTGCAACCCTAAACCCACTTACCGTATTTTTCAGTGTATAGGTAAAGGCAAAGTGACCCCTGACCATTAGGTCCAGTCATGACCGACTCTGGGGTTGCAGTGCTCATCTTGCTTTATTGGCCGAGGGAGGCGGCATACAGTTTCCAGGTCATGTGGCCAGCATGACAAAGCTGCTTCTGGCGAACCAGAGCAGTGCACGGAAATGCCGTTTACCTTCCTGCCGGAGTGGTACCTATTTATCTACTTACACTTTGACGTGCTTTCGAACTGCTAGGTGGGCAGGAGCAGGGACTGAGCAACGGGAGCTCACCCTGTCGCAGGGATTCGAACCGCCGACCTTCTGATCGGTAAGTCCTAGGCTCTGCGGTTTAACCCACAATGCCACCCACGTCCCTTTTCTGTGTATAAGACGCCCCCTATTTTGGGGAACTCCAAATTAAGAAAACACCCCTCAGCACTACCCGTGTATAAGACGAGCCCCAATTTTAAACCTAATTTTTTGGTAAAAAACCCCTAGCCTTATACACGGGAAAATACGGTACGTGGGAGCAAGACCCATTCATTCAATGGGATTAACCTCTGAATAATCATGTTGAGGACTGTGCTGTAATTATGTACCTGCCATATACATTAATTAAATAACAGCTATTTACTGTGTTGGATAGTGCAACTAGGGTGGAATCTACACACATATAAAAAAACAGTGTGAATTTTTTTTAAAAAAAAGTTTTGAAAAATACATTGAATTTGGCATAGCTCACTGTCGCTATGGTGTGACATTTGTATATTGCACTTTAAACACATTTAAATCGTCTTATCTGCAGCTGTCTAGCCGAGTCCTATATGTGCAAAGACTAACCTGGGTGTAAGCCCCACTGAGTTCAGTAGGACTTACCTCTGAGTAGACATGGTTAGATTCAGGAAGATGGAGACCTTGTATTCCTAGCTTTATAGATGTGGACTTCAAGGAAACAGTTCTGAACATGCTCAGGACAGACGTATGATTCTACTAGAGGCTGGTGGTGGGGTGGTTGGCATTCATGACAACAGGAGGGAGTGGGAGCCCACACAACCAAGGCTGGTTACGCAGCAATATAACCATTTCATATGGTTTAATGGCTGGAGACAGATGGGAGTAACCTAACTGCCGTAGTAGTAGTTTTGGATTGCGATTGGCTGAATGGTGCAGAGAGCTAATTGGCCAGAGAAGATTGTGTGGCTTTGAGATTTGGGGGGTGGGGGTTTGAGGGCTGTTTGTTTATTTGTTGTTGTTGTTTTAAAAAAAAGCTTGACCTTCACTTTGGCAGGGCTCTTCCCCAGTAGCCCTGCTTGAAGGAAGAACCTTCCACTGCTCCAGTGTGGTCATGACATTCAGAATGAACTGGATCTCTTTAATGTGAGGGAATGCTCTGTGTGTGCACCAAAGCCCTTGGTTTTTGCAAAGAAACTGTTCTACTTGGAAGGACCTCTGAGTGGTGCTTCCAAAGAAATCAAGATGAAAAATCAACTCAATTTGGGCGGTTAGTCTAATGCAAACTGGCTTTTAATTCTCCATGTAAGACCTGATTTGTGGAGAAGAACATGACAGCAGGACTACTGCACTTCTTAGAAAACCAGGGCTTGGCTCTTCCAGCTGTAAACTAGTCTGAAACTTCTGGCTGGTTGACCCTGGACATGCTACCTCTTCTGGGACAAGTTGGGACTTACTTAGCTGCAGAACAAAATTTGTACTCAAGTGGAAGAATGATTACAGCCCGTTCTAAACAGCTGTACTTTTCATTCTGCCTTTAATTAACCCCAAGTTTTACT